ACTTCAGTTTTGTCTGCATTTAGTTTTAAGAAATTACTATCCAACCAACCTATCTAGCCATATAATTAGGAGACATTTTTTGGTCTTTTATGTTTTATGTGCACCTCACTGTAAGTCAAGTTTCCCACTGGGATAATAAAATGACTGAACTGAACTGAACTTTACTAAAGAACCCTTGAAGAACCGTCATTTTAAGAGTGTAGCGGAAGAACTAAAAAAGATAAAGGCAAGCAGTTTTGGCTTATAAAGAGAAAAACACATCCACTGTTTTGTTGTTTGTTTGTTGAGTAAGCTCAACTTAAACTGTTTTGTTGACCGGACTGAGACTTTGCTGCTTAAAAACGTAAGTTTTTAAAAAGACGAGTTTTGATTAAAGAGAACTTTGACTGCACTAAGTTGAGCACAATCTATGCAGAAGGCTGACAAAGTTTTAACTTGACCTCACTTTAGTTGTTTTATAGTGTATGGAAAAAAGACTGTAGGCCTCTAAGAGTTAAAGAGCAGAGTTGAGTTCTTGTACCTGAACAGAACCTTTCTAACAGTGTAAGTTGGAAAAGAGTGACAAAATGTAAGAACAGGACATGGTAAGACCTACAGCTCTTACCTCACAAGGAGGATCCCCTCCAAAAGTGTACAACCCCCCCATGTAACACATGTTAAAAAATGAATTTCAGGCTCTGAGAGGGAGTTGCAATAATCAATGTGGGAGAAAATGAAGATGTTAATAAAGCAATAAGCCACGAGAGGCTGTGTGTTCTTATGAGAAGCGGAGTGCCTAAAACTCCCTTCCCTATGATAAAATCACTGTAACGCATGGCCTCAAGTGGCTTATTGCTTTTATAAAATGGCGGCCAACATAAAGTATGATAAAATACACAATTTTCAGCAAAATAATTGAAGTTATTTTCAATAATAATCAACATAAACAAGTATTCCACCAAGAAATGCCATTCCTTTACAGTATAGTATCATTGCCAAACAACCATGGACCACTGAATGAGGGGAACGTTCGGTCGCCCATCGCTGTACACTGCAGTCATTTCATGAACTTTTAAACTTTTTGTCGTATAACAATGAATATATGATAATACAGCACTGTTTAAGGCAAAAACATTTGCTTTAAAAGTACTTTTTGGTCACTAAATTACCACCATAGTCTTATTTAGCACCAATCCAGTGGCGCCCCTCTTCTCGTGCTGGGGCTGAATCTCAAACGCCTCCCTGCTCCCTACACAGTGCACTACGTAGGAATTTAAATACTGGATCCTGCAGCCCAACAGTGAATAATACAGCCAGGGAACAGTCATTTGGGACTCAGCCACATCCACACTCGATAAATGATGCACTGTTTGGCTGTAGAGGCTAGAATTTCTAAACTTTCATAGCTAGAACACTATTTAGAGAGTACGGAGCCGTTTGGGACTTAGCCTGGGTTTGACATGACTTCTGACTGAAACACGGACATTTGAAGTGCGTAAGACATTTAAATGACATTTTCAGACTTTTATACTGCCGTTTTACTGTTAATCACACCATAAGTACATTATTAAAGCCTGTGATATTAATGATGGAGCTGTTTAGGCTGTTGGCTTCTTTTAGCCTGTTAGCTAGCTGACCAGCCCAGTCCTAGTTAAAAACATAAGTTGCCCCTCAGTTTAAACAAAACACGGGTTCTTACTTAGTCAATATACTTGGTGCTCCATGTGAGCAGCATTAGAGTCAAAGATTATTACATTAACACACAAGGGTTTTTCATGCTGTGGCGCGGTGATACATAATTCAGCTGTTGTGAGGCGTCATAGGAATGGTATATTGCGGATTTTGCAACAACTTTGATCGCAGCTCAGCCAATCAGGTTTTAGGACCAGAACTATCTTTTTTTTTAACTGGCATTTTGGCATCTGTGTTGCTGAGCAGAGGGTGGAGGCGTGCAATATTACACAGGTGAATGCAGTCTTAGTAAGTGACTTAATATGAGGCTCAAATGGAAGTGAAGAATTAAAAATGAATCAAAGGTTTTTACTGACTTGAACTGATTTAATAGGAATAACATCTACATTCACAGTGAGACTGGAGAAGTTGGAAACCAGCGTTTTAGAGCCGACGAACAAGACTTCAGTTTTGTCTGCATTTAGTTTTAAGAAATTACTATCCAACCAACCTATCTAGCCATATAATTAGGAGACATTTTTTGGTCTTTTATGTTTTATGTGCACCTCACTGTAAGTCAAGTTTCCCACTGGGATAATAAAATGACTGAACTGAACTGAACTTTACTAAAGAACCCTTGAAGAACCGTCATTTTAAGAGTGTAGGGGAGGAACTAAAAAAGATAAAGGCAAGCAGTTTCGGCTTATAAAGAGAAAAACACATCCACTGTTTTGTTGTTTGTTTGTTTGTTTGTTGAGTAACCTCAACTTAAACTGTTTTGTTGACCAGACTGAGACTTTGCTGCTTAAAAACGTAAGTTTTTAAAAAGACGAGTTTTGATTAAAGAGAACTTTGACTGCACTAAGTTGAGCACAATCTATGCAGAAGGCTGACAAAGTTTTAACTTGACCTCACTTTAGTTGTTTTACAGTGTATGGAAAAAAGACTGTAGGCTTCTAAGAGTTAAAGAGCACAGTTGAGTTCTTGTTGTGAAGTATTTGGGATAGAGACACATGTTCTGTCAGTTTTTATCAGGTTTCTATCCTCTCTCGGTGTGGGCGTGCAGTAGTGAAAGTTGAAGCTGAGTTCAGTGTTCTGCTGGATGTGGAGCCGAGCGCCTCTGAGGAACACAAAACACACTCCGGTGAGTGAGAATAGAGATGTGTGTAAGAGGGAGACTTTGATAAAACACGCACACACTTTGATAAAAGAGGCACAGATACTAATAAAGTTTTAATTATTCCCTGATGATTCGAGCACCAATGCGGAATCACCAAACTCTGCCTTTATTATTTAATTCTCTTGCTTTTGCTTTATGTAATTTTCCCCCATTCCTCTCTATTACTGTTCTCCAAGGACTCATACACTCATCGTCCACATTATAGAAGCAACTCTTTTTTGCTTCCGCTCACTGGCCACTTTATTGGAAACACCTACCTTGTGCTTCCGCTAACTGGCCACTTTATTGGAAACACATACCTTGCACTTCCACTCACCATAACTCTCACTTGGCACTAAGCATTCCAGTAGGTAACGTTCCCCTGGCATCCACCAAACCCAGGTTCATCTATCAGACTACCAGATACAAACGTGATTCATCACTCTACTGCTCCAGAGTCCGGGGCGGAGGGTTTACACCACTCCAGTCGACATTTGGCATTGCACATAGTGATCTTAGGCTTGTGCACAGCTGCACGGACATGGAAACTCATGTCATGAAGCCCCTGATGCACAGTTTGTATGCTGATGTTGCTTCCAGAGGCAGTTCTGCAGTGAGAGATGCAACAGAGGATAAACTATTTTTAAACACTACACGCTTCAGCATGGTCTACCACTTAGTAGCTGAGCTGCTGTTACTCCTAAACACTTCAATTTCACAAAATAGCACTTACAGTTGTCTGGGGCAGATCTAGCAAGTGCAGAAATGTCTGACTTGTGGCAAAGATGGCATCCTATGACAGAGGCACATTTAAAGTCACTGAGCTCTATGTGTATTTTATACTTTATACATCTGCGAACAATGGATGTGGCTGAAACACTTGAGCTCAATAGTTTTGGCCATGTAGTGTATGTCGGACATTTTGATCGGTTGTCTTACAGTTTAAGCAGATCTCACAAATCAATCTGCAGTAATAAAGTTTGTATAGCACTCGTATATTGTTTTTCAGTTTTCGACATAATTTGAAAGTACTCACGGTCCTATATACTGTGTGTATATTTAATAATGAATGGACCAACAAAAATGACCCAAAATGCCATAGATGCCATAGATCAGCCAAATTCGGGCCGGGTCTTCATGCTATCTGGGTAGTATTGTAGTGTTCTGCTGCTGGCTGGTACCGGCGCCTGAGACTTTGGAGACGTGGCTCTGCAGATTACCTCAGGCAAAGGCTCATGGTACGCCTGCGGCTTCCTGAAAAAGGACTATTTATGTTGTTTATGTTGTTGTCTGTTAGTTTAAGTTGTGTATGCATGCTGTTTGTGTTTTTTAGTGTTGGGGGCTGGGGATTTTGTGTGTGAGGGGTTGGGGTGAGGTGTCTGGCTGGCGGTGACCTCCCGCGCGAGTTCTGTGTTGCATATGTGCCCCTTTCTGCTGGTGTGTTCAATAAACAGCACTTCTTGCAGCAAATCTTGGCTACCCCCGTGTTTCTTCTGCTGATGCTACAGTTTTATACACCAAAAATAAAAGGGTACAGAGCGTCCTCCTGCCTCTTCCCACCATAGACCGCCTCTTGTCAAGAGAAAATATCTTAAATACAGTCAAAAAATCCAATATTTCTCCTGATGATATTCTTGTAAACTTAATTTAAGATTACTTAACTTATTTGTACATTTACATTTTTTACTTGTTGTAAGTAATTTAAGTAAAATTCTCTCACTATAGTGGCAGATAACTTTGATCGTTTTAAGAAATGAGCTTGAAACCAGCAAAACTATCTGCCAGTTATCTGACCCAAAATGACATGGAAAGAAGTCTGGTTCCATTGAAATTAGAGTATGTTTTTCCTTTTCTTGTAAAGTTATCATTCTGGAGATACAAGGTTTTGATTTGACAACAGTGATATGCAGATTTTGCTCTGTTTGACTGGAACTGGGAGGTACAAAAGTTAAAGAGGTAATGTTTTTTTGCAAAAGAGGCCATATAGAGACGGTATATTCCTGGCTTAACCCAGCGCAAATTCAGCGCAGGTTAGAGAAGGAAGAACATTAATACCTTTGCAGAACAGGGGCACTCCGAGACCAGGGTTGGGAACCGCTGCCCCCGTTCTGCAGCCACCAAATGAAGCGTGAGAAGGTGGAGGGCAGAAGAACAGGAGAAGGATGGAGAGTGAGGAAATGCAGCAGTGTACCTGTAACCAAAGTCTGAGGGGATCTGAAAGCTGCACAGAGAATATCGTCCCGGTGCTGAACTCCACCCTTCCACTCCGCCGGCTGGACAAAATACTGAGAGAACGAGTTCAGCCTGAACACTGTGATCATCCTAACCAGAGACAGGGAGAGATGAACATGAGGAGATGCCAAATATCCATTCAGAAAGATTCAGAAAGATGGAGAAGAACGAGAGATAATCAGAATCACGTTTAGCAGTGTTCTCAAACCCTCAGAGCCCCCAGAAGGTCCCCTTTCAGAAGACCAACTGCTGTATATGAATTTGTCCTGGTGATGGTGACTCTTACATAAAAACTTTCGCTGTTGACCGCCGCAGTGGAATTAACCGGATGTTGATGTTTTTTGGGAGTCATGGACACCAAATGTCTCGTTGTATGTTGAATTCCAGACGAACACGTATCGGATTGCGCACACCTGGCTGAATCCCAGCTGGCTCTTTTTTAGACATATTATGCACCGTTTTGGTTTCCAGAGCCTCTATTTGAAGATCTGCATCTTAAGCACTACAGCACTACGCAGGAAGCAAGTGGCAGGAAGCCATTTGAGACTTAACCATAATCGGCATGAACCTATTGATGCCTGGGCGGTTTGAGCACGTATGGGAAACGGTCCGAGCTCCTTTTGCCACCTCTCCAAGAGGCCGAGTGTAACATACACTTGGCCCAAACCTAAAAATGCTCACTGGGGCCACATCAGCACATTTGGGAACCGGCCCAAGCTCCTTTTGCCAACTGCCAAGTGAAACTGACAACTGGCCCGAGCCTATGAATGCACACCTGTCAGTACATATGGTACATTTGCAAGCTCTTCGGTTGCTGAGTGTCACCCGCACTTGGCCCGATTCAGGCTGGCCGGTGACATAGATCAGCCAAATTCGGGCTGGGTCTTCATGCTATCTGGGCAGTATTGTAGTGTTCTGCTACTGGCTGGTGCCGGCGCCTGAGACTTTGGAGACGTGGCTCTGCAGATTACCTCAGGCAAAGGCTCATGGTACGCCTGCGGCTTCCCGAAAAAGGACTATTTATGTTGTTTATGTTGTTGTCTGTTAGTTTAAGTTGTGTATGCATGCTATTTGTGTTTTTAGTGTTGGGGGCTGGGGATTTTGTGTGTGAGGGGTTGGGGTGAGGTGTCTGGCTGGTGGTGACCTCCCGCGCGAGTTCTGTGTTACATATGTGCCCCTTTCTGCTGGTGTGTTCAATAAACAGCACTTCTTGTAGCAAATCTTGGCTACCCCCGTGTTTCTTCTGCTGATGCTACAGTTTTATACACCAAAAATAAAAGGGTACAGAGCGTCCTCCTGCCTCTTCCCACCATAGACCGCCTCTTGTCAAGAGAAAATATCTTAAATACAGTCAAAAAATCCAATATTTCTCCTGATGATATGATATGATGAATTTAAGATTACTTAACTTATTTGTACATTTACATTTTTACTTGAAAGTAATTTAAGTAAAAGTCTCTCACTATAGTGGCAGATAACTTTGATCGTTTTAAGAAATGAGCTTGAAACCAGCAAAACTATCTGCCAGTACAGTGAGATAATTTTAATCAATAAAATGATGTAACACCAGTGAAAAGTGTCTAGAACTAAGCTAAATAATCTTATACAAAGTCTAGAACCGTCTCAAAATGGGAAATATTAGATATTTAGATTGACTAGATTTAAAATCATTTCACACGTCAAGAAACAATGTAGATAATTTTGCTGTGGAACTAGATCTCTGCATTTAACCCATCCGTGCAGTGAAACACCCACATACATGCACACTAGTGAACACACACACTAGGGGGCAGTGAGCACACTTGCCCGGAGTGGTGGGCAGCCCTATCCACGGCGCCCGGGGAGCAACTGGGGGTCAGTTGCCTTGCTCAAGGGCACTTCAGTCTCGTAACCTTCCGGTCACAGGGCTGGTTCCCTAACCTCCAGCCCACGACTGCCCCCATAATAACACACTTATAACACACTTTCGTAAGATAAAATCACATAAAACAAGTACAGAATGTCCAGAAATAACCTAAAGAATCTTACAGTGTTCTTACAGCAGTCAGATCAGTGCTACCTAACTAGATTCAAGATGTTTTCACTTGCTAACTTATTTCTCAGTGTGTGGGTTTAACATTTAACATGCCTCACTTTGAGTAGTATTGTGAGGAATGTAATGTATTTGAAGCATTGCACTGACTATAAGCAAAGTTTTTTGTTTATTTACTCTACTGTTCAGCTTGCAGCTGTTCAAGCATTCTCACTATAAAAACATTTAACCAAATGAGGTTTGGGGAAAATGTTAAAATCAAGAATTCTATGCTAAAAAGAGCATCAGATCAGATCGATGTTACTTCCAGACACAATGCCTTAAACCACAGAAATAGTTTTCAAGATTATAAGATCATTTACAGCACTTTTTCTCTTATTTCAAGAAATCTCATTAAGTTTCTCACAATATTGCCAGATAATTCCGCTTCAAGAGCTTTTTTTTCTTGATTTGTTTTTATTTTTCTTTTATTTCTCTTTGGATTTTGTCGCTGTGTGTACGTCCAGCGCCGAGATGAGGAGATGGGATCTGACTGCAGGAACCAAAAAGTGTCTGAGTCCATCTACCAGAGGTCTGGGTTGGTTTGTGTCTGCTAGGACACACACACTCCCTCCCTCTCTCTGCTCTGACTGCTCGCAGTGTTTTTTACAGCTTCCAGCAGCAGCAGCGCTCTCGGCACATCAGCGCTGACGCTAACCAGCGACGAAGGGCTCGCTAACAACAGCGTGTGATGAAGAGAGAGAAAGACACGCGCGTACAGACGAGGACATTCTTGGAAGGATGAGAGGAGGAACTGCAAGAGATGAGAGATGGAGTGCGTTAACCTCAGGCAACATAAACTAGAAGCTGGAATGTTAGTAATGACAGCAGTGACAAACACCCAGCACGCTGTCATCTTTCAAACGGTTGTTTTCTCTCATTATCTTTCTCTCTTTCTCCATTCAGCGCCTCCAGACCTTGTTGTGCTGAAGGAGCTTGTTTCTTTAAGGTTCCCTCACATCCCATCTCCTTCTCATCTCTTACCGGACACGCACCGCCCATCAGCACATCATTTTTCGAATTGGAAATGGCTTCGTTTTTGTATTCATCTTTTTAATTTGATCTGTTATTGTCTACGTTTATATTAGCTATATTGTCTCCGCTTATTTATAATTTGGGGAAAAGAAATTAGAGGTAATTTGCATTTTGTTGCCATATGGCAACAGCATAGGAAAACGGAAGAGTAACAAAGAATAAAGAAACGTGTTAAAATAATTACACCGATCAGGCATAACGTTATGACCACCTCCTTGTTTCTACCCTCATTGTCCATTTTATCAGCTCCACTTACTATATAGGGTCACTTTGTAGTTCTACAGTTACAGACTGTAGTCCATCTGTTTCTCTGATACTTTGTTAGCCCCCTTTTACCCTGTTCTTCAGTGGTCAGGACCCCCATGGACCCTCACAGAGCAGGTACTATTTGGGTGGTGGATCATTCTCAGCACTGCAGTAACACTGACGTGGTGGTGTGTTAGTGTGTGTTGTGCTGGTATGAGTGGATCAGACACAGCAGTGCTGCTGGAGTTTTAAACACTGTGTCCACTCACTGTCCACTCTATTAGACACTCCTACCTTGTCAGTCCATCTTGTAGATGTAAAGTCAGAGACGATAGCTCATCTGCTGCTGCACAGTTTGTGTTGGTCATCCTCTAGTCCTTCATCAGTGGACACAGGACGCTGTTGGCTGGATATTTTTGGTTGGTGGACAATTCTCAGTCCAGCAGGTGTTTAAAAACTCCAGCAGCACTGCTGTGTCTGATCCACTCGTACCAGCGCAACACACACTAACACACCACCAACACATCAGTGTTACTGCAGTGCTGAGAATGATCCACCACCTAAATAGTACCTGCGCTGTGAGGGTCCATGGGGGTCCTGACCACTGAAGAACAGGGTAAAAGGGGGCTAACAAAGTGTCAGAGAAACAGATGGACTACAGTCTGTAACTGTAGAACTACAAAGTGCACCTATATAGTAAGTGGAGCTGATAAAATGGACAATGAGCATGGAAATTGCGTAGAATTGTCTCTCTCTCTCTCTCTCTCTCTCTCACCTCTCCCAGCCGAGCACCAGCACTGTCCTCTTCAGCACCAGTATCTGAGAGATCTCCACCGCCAGGCCTCTGCCTGCGTTTAGGCTGTGGTGACAGTGTCCGTTAAAGTCCCACACCTGCCACACACGGACGGAAAGATAACAAGATATTAGCATAATGTAAGCAAACAAAGCCGGGAGGCAGCAAATATAAGCACAAATGCAGGAGGATGGATCTACGCAGAGAGTGGAAGAGTGCAGAGAGAGAGAGTTACGCAAACATCCTCGCTCACCTTCTACACACTTTCTACCAACAGAGGGAAAAGTGATGCTTTGGGTGGTTTTTGTGTGGAGAGTCAGGCGTCCACACTTCACACTACAAGATACCTCAGTTAAACAGACAACTTCAACTGAAAGTCAGGCTGGACCCCTCAGCTGAGGAATGTTTCCACTGGCCAGTCCTCACTTTGGGCTTAAGTTATCTGGATAACAATTACAACTACTATCACTACTGCTGCATTTACTACTTCTACTACCACTGCTGCTGTAACTGCTACTGCTATTACTGCCACTACTACTGCCACTACTACTGCTATTACTACTACTACTACTATTACTGCCACTACTGCTACTACTACTGCCACTACTGCTGCCACTACTGCTATTACTACTACTACTGCTATTACTGCCACTACTGCCACTACTACAGCTACTACTACTGCCACTACTGCTATTACTACTACTACTGCTATTACTGCCACTACTACTGCTACTACCGCTATTACTACTGCCACTACTGCTATTACTACTACTACTACTACTATTATAACCACCACTACTACTATTATAACCACCACTACTACTACTGCTACTGCAACTGCTACTACTACCACTACCGCCACTGCCACTGCTACTACTACCACTACTACTACTGCCACTACTGCTACTACTACCACTACTACTACTGCCACTGCTACTACTGCAACTGCTAGTACTACTACTGCTACTGCTACTGCTGCTACTATTACTACTGCTACTGAGAATAGTCCACCAACCAAACATATCCAGCCAACAGCGTCCTGTGGGCAGCGTCCTGTGACCACTGATGAAGAACTAGAGGATGACCAACACAAACTGTGCAGCAGCAGATGAGCTGTCATCTCTGACTTTACATCTACAAGGTGGACTGGCAAGGTAGGAGTGTCTAATAGAGTGGACAGTGAGTGGACAGTGTTTAAAACCTCCAGTGGCACTGCTGTGTCTGATCCACTCAGACCAGCACAACACACACTAACACACCACCACCACGTCAGTGTTACTGCAGTGCTGAGAATGATCCACCACCCAAATAGTACCTGCTCTGTGAGGGTCCATGGGGGTCCTGACCACTGAAGAACAGGGTAAAAGGGGGCTAACAAAGTATCAGAGAAACAGATGGACTACAGTCTGTAACTGTAGAACTACAAAGTGCACCTATATAGTAAGTGGAGCTGATAAAATGGACAATGAGCGCAGAAACAAGGAGGTGGTCAGAATGTTGTGCCTGATTGAAGTGTATAGCTGAAATGATAATAAAGCCTACCTCTGCTGTTTCTACTACTACTAACATAAGTGAATAACAGAAAAAAACAATAAAAGCAGAGAAACAGACTCAGAGAAAGACAGAAGTTTAGTGTTGAGTAAGTGAAAGTCCTGAAGAAGTGAAGTCTGAAGTTTTAAATCGCTGTTAAAAAGCACTGAGAGAAATATGTAATGGAAGATTATGCAGTTTGCTCGAATGCCTCCGGCTCCACATCTTAAAAATCAATGAAGTGTCTTTGTCTGGCCGCAACCTCTGACCTTGACCACGCCGTCCGTGCCGGCGGTGAAAAGTCTCGTCTGCGTGGCGTCCAGCACCATGGTCGAGATCTCTGCATCGCCGTGACAGCGATGAAACTGCTTGACCTTCTGACCTGTGTCCATGAGCCAGCAAGTCACTGCTGAGCTGGCGTCACTGCTGACGACCTTGAATGAGAGCAGAAGCAGGAACGGCGTTACAGGCACAGTCTACTAACACCCTGCACTCTTAAAATGATGGTTCTTCAAGGGTTCTTTAGTAATGAAAATGGTTCCGTATAGAACCATGAACACTCATAGAACTCAATGCATGATTAAAGGGTTTTTTGCTTCACAAAAGCGTTCTTCAGATTGATGGAGAAGGTGCTGTAGATGGCTCTATATAGAACCGTTTTGAAAAGGGTTCTATATAGCACTAAAAGGGATCTTCTACTGTTACGATGTCAAGCTTGTACCAGTAGAAGAACCCTTTTTAGTGCTATATAGAATTCTTTGCAAAAAGGTTCTGTAGAAAAAACTATATGCAGCAGCTTCTCCATAAATCTGAGGAACCATTTCATGATGCAAAGAACCCTTTAATCATGCAAAGGGTTCTTTGAGTGGTCATGGTTCTATACAGAACCATTTTCTTTAAGTTAAGTGACCCTTATTAATTTCACCTCTGCATTTAACCCATCTGTGCAGTGAAACACTACATACATACTAGCGAACACACACACTAGGGGGCAGTGAGCACACTTGCCCAGAGCAGTGGGCAGCCCTATCCCCAGCGCCCAGGGAGCAGTTGGGGGTTAGGTGCCTTGCTCAAGGGCACTTTAGTCATGTCCTGTCAGCTCAGTGGATCAAACCGGCGACCTTCCAGTCACAAGGTTGGTTCCCTAAACTCCAGCCCACAACTGCCCCCGTAGAACCCTTGAAGGACCATCTTCTTTAAGACTGTACAAAAAGCCCAACGTGCACTTTCCCAATTTGATAACTTATATTCAAATAAGTTTAGCACTTAAACAGAAAAAAAGAAATAAAAAATGAGAAAAAAATGCCCCTCATTACAACCGACATAAACCTACATAAACATTCATAAACACTTATTCCAGTAGGCCTCAAGCTGACACAACCTCTACGTCAGGTGACTGATTTTTATCAGACATAAGGTTGTTGTGACACTTTCTGGGGTGAAGTGACTTAGACTTTGTAGCTAAGTACACTTTGTACACTATATGGCCAAAAGTATGTGGACAGCCCTCCTAATTATTGATGTTCAGGTGTTTCAGCCACACTCATTGCTAATAGGGGTATAAAATCAAGTACATAGCTTTGCGGTCTCCACAGACAAACACTGGCAGTAGAAAAAGTCGTACTGAAGAGCTCAGAGACTTTAACACGGCACTGTCATAGGATGCTGCCTCTGCCACGGGTCAGTTTGTGAAATTTCTGCCCTGCTAGATCTGCCCCAGTCAACTGTAAGTGCTATTATTATGAAATGAAAGCAACAACAGCTCAGCTATGAAGCGGTAGACCACACAAACTCACAGAGTGCTGGAGCACATAAAATCACTCACTACCAGTTCCAAACTGCCTCTGGAAGCAACATCAGCACAAGAACTGTGAGTCAGGAGCTTCAAGAAATGAGTCTCCATGGCTGAGCAGCTGCACACAAGCCTAAGATCACTATGCACAATGCCAAGCGTCGGCTGGAGGGGTGTAAAGCGCTGCCACTGGACTCTGGAGCTGTGGAAACGTGATGTGATGAATCAGCTTCACTATCTGTCAGTCTGATGATGAATCTGGGTTTGGTGGATGCCAGGAGAACGTTACCTACTGGAATGCACAGTGCCAGCAGTAAAGTTTGGTGGAGAAGGGATAATGAGGTGGGATGTTTTTCAAGGTTTGGGCCCCTTAGTTCCAGGGAAGGATGATGTTATTGTTACAGCATAAAAAAAGACATTTTACACAGTTATATTCCTTCAACTTTCCTGCCCAAACAAATTTTTCATTCTCATGTTGTCAGGTGCCTAAAATGTTTGCACAGTAGTATATAAAAAAGTGTCATAGCACAACCCAGTGTTAGAGTGTCACCTGACAACTTGACATCAGAGTTGACATAAGCAGCCATTATGATAGACTACGGCTATTGGAAAGCCTTAATAAATGTTTATGTAGGTTTACGTTTTAATGACGAGCTTATGCAGCCTTATGAGCACTGCTCTCCAGTACAGTGTTAGCCAGTGTCTCAGTGATTCACTGTGTGCCTGTCTGTGACAGCCACTGACTGGAGGTACTTAAGCATTCCCTGCGCACTGTCCTCTCCCCTACCTGTCCTCATTTTTCAATCTGACAGATTAAAGAGGGAAAATCTGCTCCTTTAAAATCTCACGGTAAACAACAAAGCAACAGATGCAGAACCAGTTTGGAGCGTCTCAAACAGCAGATATCTTCCAAACACAAGAGCGCAAGGTGTCTTTCCGTCTCTCTCAGCGCTGACCCAAGAGACTGAGAGAGTGGCGGTGCGGTTTGGCAGCACCACACTGCCCCCACCTGTCTGAACAGGGAGTTGTAGAGGACGCAGGTGACAGCGCTTTCGTGACTCATCACTCTCTTCCCCGACTCTTTCTTCGCCTCCAGCAGGAGCAGAGCACTGTTGAAGGAGAGGAAGAGGCGCGATCGCTCCTCGTGGAAGAAGAGGAGGGTCCTGCACTCCTGAGTTTTAGGGAAGATTCCCGCAATGCGCTGGACGCACAGCTGAGTGGCCACATCCCACACCCTTAACACCTGAGGGAGAGAGACATTTTAAGGGGAAATCCACCAATCTCTCATAAATTCTAAATAATTTAATGGTTAAGATGTAGACAAAGTCAGAGTGGTTTGGTGCGAAACGCTCTGTTCTAGATAAACTTACCGAGTCAGAGCTGTTCACAGTGGTGGTGATAGGAACCAGACGTCCACCTCTAAAAGCTCCCTCACAGAAAGTTACTACATGATTGATTATGAATTCACTGCCTGATGTCTAAGACACTGTTTTATGATAGTTTTTAGAAGATTTTGGACTAAAATATACTCTTTTAAAATCCAGTCATTGTGGAGGGATACATGGAGAAAATAGTCCCCAAAGTAAACTCATTATTTTCAGATTTTCCTCTATTTTCCATCATCAACATTCCATATAAACTCAGAAGACTCGTGTAGGTTCACTGGTGGTTCTGGATAGTAAATAAAATGTCTATATTTGTGTTGTAGTCATGGCGACCCCTGGTTCCTATCACCACCACTGTAAAGACATCTGAACCATTTCACACCAAACCACTCTGAATCACTCTGTTTACAAATCAAACACTGATTTATGCAGAAATTTTGAAAAAACTAGTGGGATTTCCCTTTTAAATGAACATGAATAAAAGAAAAATCATAACTGATTCTTCTTCCGCATCACAACATATTTTTAAGTGAATTTGTAGCAAGCTGAGTGTTTTCTGTCCATGATCGGTGGGGGTGGTGATATATTTTGACTCTAAGTTGACTTGAAAGGAGTAGCTGGCTAAAAATCAAACTGTAATCTATCAGCCAATACACGATTGATCTCTGAAGCTCTTTAATCGAGGATAATAAAGCTAGCAAGTAATGGAAAGACTGTCAGAAGTACAGACGAAATTCAGGCTTCACTACTGTCTTTGTCTATGAGAACTTCGCTAGTCCGTGTTTATAGATAACAGTGAGTCGCGGTGTCAGAAACCACATAATCAAGTCTGTTCAAGACTACTGAACAACTTCACACGCTTTGAGGTGAGTATGACAACTTATGCTGTGTTCAAGTTTGCATTGAAAAAAAACTTCTGCACCTCATAACGATATGTGGCTACAGCGGCATGACGCCATGCAAACACTGGTATGGTAACAGCATTGCCGGTGAAAACAGATGATTATCAGAGTAGAGCTTTAGCAGTGTACATCGTTTATTTAAGGTGGAGAAAGTCAGGAGGGGCTCTGTACTCGTCTACTTCTATATTAATACATTCCGATTACAGATTAAGACTGAGGTGTTTATTCTCACTCTACTCAACAATCTGATGGAAAGTCTCTGTTTACATGCTCTTTACATGCGCTTGTGTTTTTAATTGCTTTAAAATGATGTCAGACTCAGGAAAACGTCCTTCACATGTCCTTATTAAAGATGGCCGAGAGGAAGACGTCGTGTTCTGAGACACATAAGCTGGACGTCCGTCCCACCGCCGTCTTTTAAAGATCAGAGCATAAACTTCGTCTCCTCTGCAGACCAGTTTCTGCTCCACCATGTTGAACGGTATAAACTTTCACTATGACATGACGAACATGATCAGAACGGACTTAAACTTTCCGATAGGGAATGTAATCAGATACAGGCGTTTACACGGATATTATTCTTCTATTTAACAGATTATTTACAGGATTACCCACCTCGATCAATCAGATAGAAACTGTATTCCAAACGGCCTCAATCAGACTAGACTATTCCGATTGAGCTATTAATAAGATTATTAATGGATTATTAGGCTGCACGTAAACATAGCTACTGTAAACATTACCATGACAGCGAGCATCACGTGAGGTCCAGTCAGAGTGAGACGAGTTTTCAGCTGGCTTGCTTGTGTTTTTAATTGCTGTAAAATTATGGCAGAAAATGTACTTCACATGTATTAAGGAAGCAACGAGAGGAAGATGTCATGCTCTGAGACACATAAGCTGGACGTCCGTCCCACCGCCGTCTTTTAAAGATCAGAGCAGAAACTTCGTCTCCTCTGCAGACCAGTTTCTGCTCCACCATGTTGAACGGTATAAACTTTCACTATGACATGACGAACATGATCAGAACGGACTTAAACTTTCCGATAGGGAATGTAATCAGATACAGGCGTTTACACGGATATTATTCTTCTATTTAACAGATTATTTACAGGATTACCCACCTCGATCAATCAGATAGAAACTGTATTCCAAACGGCCTCAATCAGACTAGACTATTCCGATTGAGCTATTAATAAGATTATTAATGGATTATTAGGCTGCACGTAAACATAGCTACTGTAAACATTACCATGACAGCGAGCATCACGTGAGGTCCAGTCAGAGTGAGACGAGTTTTCAGCTGGCTTGCTTGTGTTTTTAATTGCTGTAAAATTATGGCAGAAAATGTACTTCACATGTATTAAGGAAGCAACGAGAGGAAGATGTCATGCTCTGAGACACATAAGCTGGACGTCCGTCCCACCGTCGTCTTTTAAAGATCAGAGCATAAACTTCCTCTGCTTTCACTGTGACGCGACACACATGATCAGAACGTACTTAAACTTTCCGATAGGGAATGTAATCAGATACAGGCATTTACATGGATATTATTCTTCTATTTAACGTGTTATTTACAGGATTACCCACCTCGATTAATCGGATAGAAACTGTATTCCGAATGGCCTTAATCAGACTAGACTATTCCGATTGAGCTGTTACTGACGTTAGCAGGCTCGCTTATTGTTAACAATACTAGCTTTACTGGAAGATACTACTGCACAGAGGTCGTAATTCAGTGCTTTGACTTCTCACTTCCAAGTTAAGTCAAACACAGCTGCAGCTACAACTGCTACTTTAAGCTCTGTTATGAAGGCCTCACTGCTCTCATCAACCATCTTGATTCTGTTCTTCCTTCTCACCTTGTCTTTTGAAAAGCTGATCAGTTGCTTTTTTCCCAGCATGAAGCGCACTGCCACCACGCTGGTCACATGACCTCGGAGGACACCCACAGGTTTGGAGATGAGGTAGGGGTTCCAGAGGCACACCTGGTTATTCACACCTGCTGTGGCTACAGGTTTGAAATGAGAAAACAGAACACAGCTCTACTTCAGTATAAACTCATCTCATAGACACAAAACACTGGGCACTGACTGTCCACTTTATTTTACTGTAGCTCCGCCGTGCTGGTTTACAGTTAGAGACTGGACATGTTGATATATTTAGCTGGACAGTCCACTCTCAACCTAGCAGTGACACTGAAGTGTGTAAAAACTTCGGCAGCACAGTTGTGTATGATACATTCTTACCAGCACCACACACTACCATCAGTGTCACTGCTGTGATGAGAATGGACCACCCAAACAACATCTGGACAGCAGCAGCCCTGTGGTCAGAAACTGACCAGTGAAGAATAGGGTGGAGAGGGGCTGTTAAACTGTACAGCAACAGACGGACTACAGTCTGTAACTGTACACCTACATAGTGGAGCTATAAGGTAGGTGTTCCTAATAAACTGGCCTGTTAGCGGAAGCACAAGGTAGGTGTTTCCAATAAAGTGGCCAGCGAGGGGAAGCACAAGGTAGGTGTTTCTTATGAAGTGGCCAGTGAGTGGAAGCACAAGGTAGGTGTTTCCAATAAAGTGGCCAGCGAGGGGAAGCACAAGGTAGGTGTTTCTTATAAAGTGGCCAGTGAGTGGGAAGCACAAGGTAGGTGTTTCCAATAAAGTGGCCAGCGAGGGGAAGCACAAGGTAGGTGTTTCCAATAAAGTGGCCAGCGAGGGGAAGCACAAGGTAGGTGTTTCCAATAAAGCGGCCCGTGAGGGGAAGCACAAGGTAGGTGTTTCTAATAAAGTTACCAGTTAGTGGAAGCACAAGGTAGGTGTTTCCAATAAAGTGGCCAGTGAGGGCACAATTAACTTCTAAAATCTGTTAAAACTAGTGAGTACCAATGAAGTTGAGTCCAGGATGGTAGTCCAGATCAGTGATTCCATTCTCTGTGTGGAAAGCAGTAACTCTGAGAGGTCTGGTCTCACCCTCTCTCCAGGCCAGTACCATGCTGGTTTGAGCGGAACTGCTGCAGGACACAAAGGCTTCCAGAGATCCCAGGAACTGCACTGAGGAGCAGAAACACAGCACAATACAATTATGATACAAAAAGCAACATAAAGCAGTAACTGTACCTTCGTTAAGGTGCGCCTACTGACACAGAGTTCAATTGTGCACACATAGCCTATTTAATCTCCATAGAAAAGACTGACCATAGTATGAGACCCTCTGGAGCAGCCGCACATGAGCCTAAGGTCGCCATGTCTAATGCTAAGCGTGGTCTAGAACGATATAAAGCCCCCCAGCATTGGGCTGTGGAGCAGTGGAACTGTGTTCTCTGGAGTGATGGAGCTTCAATATCTTTGGGATGAGTTTGAGATCCACAACTGACCATCCAACATCAGTACCTGACCTCACCAATGCTCAATCAAAACCTCACAGCAATGTTCCAATATCTAGTGTAAAGCCTTGCCAGAAGAGCAGAGGCTCTAATAGCTTATATCGTCACTGTTGTATAAATATCTCATTGAAAATAGCAGCTTAATTTTTATACTGTTTAAACATTTCATGATTAATGGGCCAAAATGAATCGTCCAAAACTATTTAGAAGTATTTAATGTACATTACGTTACATATTTTGTGTACATTGTCAGATGTTACCATTTTTGACAATATTTGCTTATGACAGCAATGGTGTATACACTTCATAATGCAGTTTATTGGAAGTAGGGCTGGGATGATCAGCAATTTATAGATGTATGATTTATAGGATGTATAAACAAAGTGGCAGTGCAATATGCAATATGTATGGATGTATAAACAAAGTGGCAGTGCAGTATGCAGTATGTATGGATGTATAAACAGTTGCAGTGCAGTATGTATGGATCTATAAACAGTGGCAGTGCAGTATGCAGTATGTATGGATGTATAAACAGTGGCAGTGCAGTATGCAGTATGTATGGATGTATAAACAGTGGCAGTGCAGTATGCAGTATGTATGGATGTATAAACAGTGGCAGTGCAGTATGCAGTACTTATTGATGTATAAACAGTCGCAGTGCAGTATGTAGTATGTATGGATGTATAAACAGTGGCAGTGCAGTATGCAATATCTATGGATGTATAAACAGTGGCAGTGCAGTATGTATGGATGTATAAACAGTGGCAGTGCAGTATGTAGTATGTATGGATGTATAAACAGTGGCAGCGCAGTATGTATGGATGTATAAACAGTGGCAGTGCAGTATGTAGTATGTATGGATGTATAAACAGTGGCAGTGCAGTATGCAGTATGTATGGATGTATAAACAGTGGCAGTGCAGTATGCAGTATGTATGGATGTATAAACAGTGGCAGTGCAGTATGCAGTATGTATGGATGTATAAACAGTGGCAGTGCAGTATGTAGTATGTATGGATGTATAAACAGTGGCAGTGCAGTATGCAATATCTATGGATGTATAAACAGTGGCAGTGCAGTATGCAGTATGTATGGATGTATAAACAGTGGCAGCGCAGTATGTATGGATGTATAAACAGTGGCAGTGCAGTATGCAGTATGTATGGATGTATAAACAGTGGCAGTGCAGTATGTAGTATGTATGGATGTATAAACAGTGGCAGTGCAGTATGCATATCATGGATGTATAAACAGTGGCAGTGCAGTATGCAGTATGTATGGATGTATAAACAGTGGCAGTGCAATATACAGTATGTATGGATGTATAAACAGTGGCAGTGCAGTATGCAATATCTATGGATGTATAAACAGTGGCAGTGCAGTATGCAGTATGTATGGATGTATAAACAGTGGCAGTGCAGTATGCAGTATGTATGGATGTATAAACAGTGGCAGTGCAGTATGCAGTATGTATGGATGTATAAACAGTGGCAGTGCAGTATGCAGTATGTATGGATGTATAAACAGTGGCAGTGCAGTATGTAGTATGTATGGATGTATAAACAGTGGCAGTGCAGTATGCAGTATGTATGGATGTATAAACAGTGGCAGTGCAGTATGTAGTATGTATGGATGTATAAACAGTGGCAGTGCAGTATGTATGGATGTATAAACAGTGGCAGTGCAGTATGCAGTATGTATGGATGTATAAACAGTGGCAGTGCAGTATGCAGTATGTATGGATGTATAAACAGTGGCAGTGCAGTATGCAGTATGTATGGATGTATAAACAGTGGCAGTGCAGTATGTAGTATGAATGGATGTATAAACAGTGGCAGTGCAGTATGTAGTATGAATGGATGTATAAACAGTGGCAGTGCAGTATGTATGGATGTATAAACAGTGGCAGTGCAGTATGCAGTATGTATGGATGTATAAACAGTGGCAGTGCAGTATGTATGGATGTATAAACAGTGGCAGTGCAGTATGTAGTATGTATGGATGTATAAACAGTGACAGTGCAGTATGCAGTATGTATGGATGTATAAACAGTGACAGTGCAGTATGTAGTATGTATGGATGTATAAACAAAATGACAGTGCAATGGTAATGAGTAGAAAGATTTTATAACATATTCATATTTTACACTGCAGCTACATATTCTGTATATCTAGGGAAGTTTCCATTTGTGCCAGAGAGCTTTAAGGTCTTTTCACACTGAATCTGAGTTTTACAAAGAGGGTCAGCGGAACTCCTGGTGATATTTGTTGAACTTATTTAGCAGAGTGGACCGTAATCCAGTGTCCATGTTACTACTCACTAAGTCCATGTTTTCATTCTCTGCGTCTCCTTCCTGAATTAGAAACAGAATCAATGTATGAGGCATAGGGAGGAAATGAGGTCACAGCTTACTAGTTACCTGAGGAATGTGTTTAAACTGAGGCGACACGAATCCACTCAACATACTCGTCATAACAATTTGTGCTCCGTGTCGTCCTTTTTACTGGGAAATTAGGAGAGGAGCAGAGCTGCAGGCAACAAAGCCAACAAAACATCCCTCTCCAAGGATCAAACGCAGGCACTTCACGCTCGAGAGGCCACGGATGCCTTTTTGGGTAACAGACACATACCTTTTAACGGCGCTACCACCAGGCCTGAAGGCCAGCGTGCCACCAAGATAGAGGTTTTTAGTCTCTCTCGCACAAACACACGAGCGCCGTGTCTAATCCTAAACACTAGATGACTCTCCAGGGTGGGAAGAACTTCAAAAGGATCCCGCCTACAGCCGGGGAGATAAAGCACCCAGCAATTTTCAATTAACAAGTCCTTTTCATGTTCTGTTGTGTTTCCTTCTGCTCTCTTGTGTTTGTTATTCTTGTTTACTTCGGCTCCTATTCTCTCTGTCATCCTCCGCCGTCTCGGAGGAGCCCGCTCACCCACACATACACGCCGCCCTCATCCAGCGGGATGTGGAGATCGCTGCCATCAGCTTGAGGTTGTATATCTCTGAGACATAAAGCTGCCGATAATATTTCCACAACAGCTGTATACTGTCGGCAGGAGTTCTGTACGCTGGAAACGATGTACAAAACTGTTCAACAGTTTCTAGTAGCGCTGGGCGATTAATCGGAAAGTAATCGAAACCGACATTCAGAACCTCTAACCGACGTAATCTTTCCCATGTCGGTTATTTTTTTAAAATTCTGCAAATCCTTTCCCCGCTTTGTGTGTTCATGTACTGTCCCCTTAAAAACCTACTACCGCGCATGTTTCATGTGACTCCGCCACGTCCAGTCTGCGACGTGGGAGCTAAGGCTGCGTTCTCACAGCAGGTAAAAGTGGCCCAAATCTGATTTTTTTGTTTGTCTGTTCAGATTATCTTTTAATTGTGATCTGTATGTGATTATCAGTCTGAACAGATCGGCTCCTAAACTGACCCACAGAGCAAAAGAACAGAGCGTCACGCTGCTTCACGGCTCATCCAGAGGCCAACATTCACAACGGCCAACGAACGCCAGTCGCTCCCGGAGGATCAGCTTCATCTTCACCAGCATCACAGGAGCCATCATGAAGCTTCACTGACTGACAGCTGGGCTCATCACCCAGAATGTGTTCAAGCCGTAAAAAGGGCGCGGTCACTTCTTTGGTTTGCGTCCTCGGATTCTTTAAACTTTGCTTTCAGACTTTTAACTGTTCTTTGACGCTGCAGCCTCGTTCTCCTGCGGCCGCGTTCGGACATTTCTCTCTAAATCTCTTCAATCATGGAGGGTTCTGGATGAGTCTCTTCTCATTTTTGGAAAGAAATATCAGCCCAAATGTTTTTGAGTCTCAGCAGCACGAAATTATGACGAATGTCGAGTTGGATTGACGTAAAAGCTGCGGAAATTCTGATCTGGCTGTTCAGACGATTTACATTAAGATATGCGGAACATATTTACAGCACAAACCTTGTCAGTGAACTATGAGGGCAAAAAAACAAAAATAAAATAATCGTTCATTAATCGTAATCGAGGTAAAATATTCAATTAGTCGTGATATTGATTTGAAGTCATATCGCCCAGCAGTAATTTGGAGTCATTATTTTCACTAAGACAGGGATGAGGACTCAAGTCAGCTTCTCGGACTCATGCAGACTGACTTGTGACTCGAAGCCTCTGTCTACTCATTTTTGTGGTTTTCTTCTGTTATCTCTAGTTTTTGTGATGTTTTTACTCTGAACTGGCAGAGAAAGACTGACAATCTTCTCTGTAGAGAGATTTATGAAATAATTTTTCTTGCCATTTTTCTCGCATTTTTCGCAGTTCGATTAGAGTTGGGTGGGGCTACATTTGGCACAGGTGATGTCAGGTCTGCCAAAGTACTAATGAGAGTTAGTAATGTGTATATCGCTGCTGTCCAAAGGAAAACATGTATCTCCATTTTTGTTGATTTTTATTTTTCTATGTCATTTTGCAGTTCTCCTTTTTTCATTTCATGATGAATGGACCAATAGAAACGCTCCAAAATCAATTAGAATAAAATCTCTTTACATAAACTTACATTAAAAGTTAAGGGCAGTTTTGCCCTCTACTGTAAAGTTACCATTTTGGAGAAGCTCCTCTCTTGCTAAGGACTTCAGGAGCTGAAGAGAAGTCCTAACACCTTAGATTAACCACCAGCATAATTAGGAAGTGAGAGTGGATCACGCTTTATTTTGTATTTTCCAGTTTTGTGAAAAAACTCCCCTCGGCTTTCTGGAAGTTCTAGATACATCACTGACTGTGAACATGAGCCGTAGTCTATGCAGGTTTGGCTTAGTTGTTAGGAATGGAAAACAGTGGCAGTGGCTCTACGCCAGGACTCTTTACTGTAAGAGTCACTGTAAAACTTGTACACAGTCAAATATAGGCCAATATGTGTGTTACAGACTTAAGAAGAAAAAAATTTAATGTTCTGCAAAGTTTCTGTGTTCAATCTAGAACAGCCCAAACACATTAATGAGAATTGCGTGAAGGTTAGTGCTAACAAACTACTAGAATCCTACAAGGCCGCCAGCAGAAGTTAGAATTATTGTGTAGAGCTGGGTTTTGACAGAGTTTTCACATTCATATCTCGAATTAAAGGCCTAGTTCTAATATTCACGGTTCAACACTGGTTAGTGCTGAGTAATGCTGGTGCACATGAGCATCCAAAAGACATTAGCATATGTCTGACCTTGTATGTATCAGTTTTACAGTGATTCCTTCAGTAAAGAGTCCTGACATACAACGGACCCTAAACCTGCTTAGACTACGGCTCATATTCACAGTCAGTATGCAGAACTTCCAGCAGGACTAGACTAGTTTTTTTTTCAAAAATGGGCCTCACCCATTGGTGACTGCTTGATCTCTTGGTCACCTCATTACCATGTTGATGGTAAAACACTGAGCATTTCAAGATTTTAATTGTTTTGCGCCCAACCAAAACTTAACAATGAAATAAAAGCATTGTGGCAATGGTGTAGAACAGAGGTCACTAATAGGCGGACCGCGGTCCGAGTCCGGACCCAGACACTGTCCTATGTGGACCTGGATCTATAACTGATAAACTATGGAGAATTCTTTAATTTCGACGGGGTGGTCCTATTTTATTCAACATATCAATTCTAGTCATTCTAGTCTACTCAGCCAATCAGATCTGTGCATTATGATGAGCACTGAGGCTGGAGTGAGTGACGCACACACAGGGGAGGGACGAGACACAGCAGTCAGAGAAGAAAGTGAGCCAGATTATTTTACATGACTCTAAAAAAAGAGAAACAATAAATGTTGTTGAAATATGACTGAACTGTATTTTATTTGATTTGACATTCAGTTGTCGACTGTATAAGATGTTGATATAACTACTAGGCTACTTCAGTAAACAGTATATGGCACTGAATCATGATGTAGTTAGACATTATGATGTTCTGGACCTTTGCTTGAGGATATTTTCTTTAACTGGACCTTATTGAATTGTAATTAATTAACCTCGGTGTAGAAGAATACATAGGAAACACTGCATTTTAAATGCAAATGCTCTTTTATTGAACAGGCAGGAATGGAGAACCACCATTCAGCACTGCTGAAACGGCCAAGATAGCAGACAGGTCACTTCTAGCCATGCGCTTTCTAGCGACAGTAGGCACTAACACTGCACCAACTGCCCCACAGCCCAGCACAGAACTGCACAAACAACACATGTGCACAACATTAAGCTAACAAATGACGCGCATGGCCACGCCTCCCACGCTTCCACGGCAGCACAAGCCAGTATCAGGACGCTACAGCTTTGCTAAGATTGCGGTGTTTCAATATATCAAACATGATTATTCTATTAAATAAAAATAGGCTAAAAATAAAAATACAGACATATATTTTTTAGTTTCTAGAAATCGTTAGCCCTTCTCTATAAGTCTAATTAATAAATAAGTCTAATTATACCTCAAACTACACCACATGAGTTATTATTGAATAAAATACCCTTTTTTTTGTTGTGTATTTGTGTGTGATGGTCCGTATCTCAGCATGCAAAGCCCTCCTCTAATCGCCCGACTGAAACTCATTGGGTGTGACATCAAAAAGAAGTGAAAAACTGGCGAGGCGTCACTTTGATGGCCTTGAGTAAGCACTTACTAAACTGTGCTGATTTGCATATTAATTGATACGAGAGTAGCGGAGGATGGCAAAGCTGTCTGAACACAGCAGAAAAACCCTGAAAATCCAGCCAGACTCATCCTCCACACGCCACATCCTGCAAACATCACGCTCAAATATGACAGTCTTCCCTGATGTGTTCATTAGCACAGGCAGCGCGCCGTCGGTGTGGCGCACTGCACCTAAAAAGAGCAAAGGGCTTCCAACCTGTTTCAAACACAGAGAAAGAGCATCGCTCAGAAACCCGTCACCCAACTTCTACATAACCACAGGCAACTGTCAGCTGAATCAACCTCAGGATCCTCGTGCACAGCGCTTTTCAGCTTTCGGAAACTAAGACATCTACAATAGAGAGTAATAACTGACTGATTCCTTTGGTTCCACAAACTGAAAAACAACTGCAGTGTTCAGTTTTATAACATTAAAGTGTTTCATACAGATAAGAAAACAATTAAAGCGAGCATCAGCCTGGACACTGTAAAGGCTTCAGTCACAGTCATGATGTGGTCTGTGTGGCACATAAGAAAACATCAACTACATTTAGGTTTGGAGTGGAGGGGCGGGTAATTTAGATTTTTTGCCAAACTAATCCTGTAAAGTAACTGTATCTGTAACACTACAGATCTGAATGTGGGTCCATTAGCAAATGCATAATAGTTACTGAATAATACACAGAATTCATAGTAGTTACTGAATAATTCAAAGTAGATGCTGAATAATTCAAAGTAGATGCTGAATATTTCATAGTAGATACTGAATAATTCATAGTAGATACTGAATACTTCATAGTAGATACTGAATAATTCATAGTAGATACTGAATACTTCATAGTAGATACTGAATAATTCAGAGTGGTTCCTGAATAATTTGTAGTCGTTACAGAAAAAATTAAAGCAGTTTCTGAATAATTCATAGTAGATACTGAATGATTTATATTAGATACTGAATATTTATAATAGTTACTGAATAACTTACAGTGGTTATTGAATAATTTATATTAATAACTGAATTGTTTACAGCAGATATTGAATAATTTATATTAGTTGCTAAATCATTTGTAGTAGTTAGTGAAAAAATCAATAATAGTTGTCTATTTTATTAGATTATATTATATATGTTACTAAAACACATGCCCAGTGACCGCTGGGATAGGCCTAATGACCCAGAAGGATAAATAGTGTGGATAATGTGTGTGTGTGTGTGTGTGTGTGTGTGTGTGTGTGTGTGTGTGTGTGTTATGTTAGTTATGTTTGTCTAGTTACTGAGTCATTTACAGTACATAGCAGATTAGATTAGATAAACTTTATCCGTTGGCTCCGCCCCCATGTGTGTGGTCGTGTCAGACTCACCTGTGCGTACCCAGTGTCCTGTGTGCGCAGTGTGTGTGACGGTGTAGCAGCAGTGATGGAGACCCTGCTGGAGCTCGGCCCAGCTGATACTGACCGCAGAGTCTTGCTCCACAGCTGCACTCGGCCGCCCGAACAGAGAGATCAGCGCAGACCTGAAACACACACCACTCACCTCAAACACACACACATACACACACACACACACACACACACACCACATACTGTAACACCAGCAACTCACTGATCAACTGCACACCAGCTTTAATGCAAACTCCCATCACCGCTCTTTTAAAGGGCCCATATCCTCCACTTTTCATGTGTTTTATTTTTTCTCTGAGTTGCACTTATGACCTCAGATCAGCTTTATGTGCCAAAAAAAAACAGTTCTAATTGTTTTTTTTGGGACGTTTTCCAGCTTCTCGTTTCCCTTTAGAATTAAACAGGCTGTTTGTGTTACGGGCGGCACGGTGGCGCAGTGGGTAGCGCTGTCGCCTCACAACAAGAATGGCCGGGGTTCGATTCCCGGCCGGGTGACCAGGGTCATTTCTGTGTGGAGTTTGCCTGTTCTCCCCGTGTCTGTGTGGGTTTCCTCCGGGTACTCCGGTTTCCTCCCACAGTCCAAAGACATGCAGTCAGGCTGATTGGACACACTAAATTGCCCCTAGGTGTGAATGTGTATGTCTGTCTGTCTGCCCTGCGATGGACTGGCGACCTGTCCAGGGTGTATCCTGCCTTCCGCCCAATGACAGCTGGGATAGGCTCCAGCACCCCACCCTGACCCAGAAGGATAAGCGGTTTAGATGATGTATGTATGTATGTATGTTTGTGTTACTGTGCCTTTAAGACTGACATATGTAAATGAGCTCTGTTCAGATTAGCCAGTCTGTATTGCGCCTCACTCAAAAAACAGCCCAGCAAAAACACTCCTCAAAACTTCAGTGTGAATGGGCGGAGCTAAGCTGTTGTAGGCTGTGTAGGAGGCTATATGTAAATGCACTGTTTTTCATGAGATCACAAAAGCAAGTGATTTAAAAATGGGCTGATTTCCATAAATGAGCTGTACAGACTGGGGTGTGATTGGTATGTTATCTCTCAGCTTAGCTGTTGAACGTTACCGTGACAAACCAACTCAGATTAACCCTTGAGTGGTGTTGGTTTGTGTGTTACTCAGTGGTCTGCTGGACCCACCGCATTACTGTTTATTTAAATCAATACAGCCATAACAATTTATGTAAAAATACCAGATGTTTAAAATATCACAAGTGTCCAGCGTAGGGTTCTCCTTTAGCAGCTGTAGCCAGTCAGCAGCCTGTCCATGAAGAAGTCACTGAAAATGGGTTATTTTATATGTTCTTCACAATAAATGAGCAAAGGCCAAGAATCTGAGGTTGAAATAACAATAAATCTCATCACTTTTTCTTTTGGTAAACACTGAAAATGGCTCCCACAGACCTGAACACCACACAGGGTTAAACAGGACTGTGAAATAAAAAAATGTTTTATAAAAGACCTCAGGTTTAAAACGTGTTCTCAGCGTAACACTGCACCAATTAGCTTTAGTGTTAGCTTTAGCATCAGCTCATCTGATGGACCTTACATTCATATTTTCTTAATTCTCAGACGTACATGTGCACTTATATATTAACATATACTCCTCTTCATGCTACTGGACTACTTAACACAACTGCTGTGGATGCTACGGACTCCACGCTGTCTTATGCACTTCTCATATTTTGTCCTTGCCATAGTGCTTAATATCCAAAATATCCACCAGCTGCCACTGTTATGATCTCCGACATCAAGGCACTCTATTTATCAGTGTTTCCACCCACATATTCATCCACAGTTTGCGTTTTTTGCTGCGCTTTCTCTGTGTGCATAAAAGTACATACAGGTGTCTGGCTCCCTTTCAGCATTCAGCTTGGTTTGTATTACATGATATCAGGGAAATGTGGGATTTTGAGTGCTTATTTGTAGCTGAAACTCGTTATGGGTGTGATGTACGAAATTCTGTAAAAGGCTGATGCTAAATTTGGGATGCGCTCCGTTTCAGGAATCTTTCAGGATTTTAAAACACAACCAGCCCCAACTAGCTATCCTCCGAGGAATTTTAGACAACAGCCTTCAAACCCAGGGCTTGAATCTCTGTAAATGTACCTATGCACTAAAATTGTGTGAATCCAGTTAATTTTTGAATAATAATAAAGTCGTTTAAAATCTACACCTTTTCATGCTACTGGGCTGCCTAACACAACTACTGTGGATGCTACAGACTCCATGCTGTCTTATGCACTTCACATATTTTGTCCTTGCCATAGTGCTATAATACCAGCTGCCACTGTTATGATCTCTGACATCAGGGCACTCTCTTCATCCACAGTTGGTGTTTTTTGCTGCGCTTCGTCTGAGTGCATAAAAGTACAAACAGGTCTGGCCCCCTTAGCATTTAGCTTGGTTTGTATTACATGATATCAGGGAAATTTGGGATTTTGAGTGCTTATTTGTAGCTGAAACTCAATATGTGTGTGATTCTCTAAAAGGCTGATGCTACGCGTGGGATGCTCTCCATTTTAGGAAACTTTTAGGATGTTAAAACATAACCAGCCATCCTCCGGGGAACCGGATATAACAGCCTTCAAACCTGGGGTATGAATCTCTGTAAATCAGTGGAGAAAATGCAAATCAAATTGAAACTCTACCAGCCGGTAGTGTTTCGGGCCATTTTCCAGCACTGCCAAACTGTCCCGTGAACTCCTCAGAGATTTAGTTACAGGCCCTCAAACTCTGTATGTTTGGAAACTCATAACTTGAGCAGGAGAGTCTGGATGGACACAAACTTTGCACTGAGGTAGTGCTGATGGTTTATTTCCAGTGAGCCAAGTCTAGTGGTTATGGCCACTGGGGGACCTGAGATATGGAGGTTCAAATTCAGATAGAGGGGCTTGAACGTGTTTTGGAACCCCGTCAGCAGGTGAGGGAAGCTCCAAACTTAGTAAATAAGCCCTCTCCCTGCCATCTGACCCCCAGAGAATTGGGCATACAGGGCTACAATCCTTGAAGTTTGAGGCTCCTGGATTGACGAGGGAAGGTTGGACCAACTTCAAAGGTTTCAGAGGGGGCCTCAGCCGACTTTCTAACCCCCACAGAACCAGAAATACAGGCCCAGACTTTAGAGACACATCTCCCAGAGTGGAAAAGACTACAGGCACCAAAGTCTTCCTGGTAAGACGTGCTGAGGGGCTCTTCCAAAACACCAATTTTTGGACCCATATGACCTTCCAACTGCTGTGGGCCTCCAGCTCGATAAGGTGTCTGGTTGGTACTATTGACAAACAATCAGGCTAGAAAAAGGCTAAAAACGTTAACAACAAAACATTAAAACATGTCTTGCTATGTAAGTGTAAGATGTGTAACAGTCTCTCTGTAACTGAGACAGGTAAGAATGGCGGTCACTCACCTGTCCCCCTACGTCCCCAAAGCTAAGCACGGCCTGCTCTGGACGTTGGGGATGATGCCAGTAGTGGAGGCTGATGGGAGTGTAACGCAGGCCATGGAGCTTATACTGCAGACTGAACTCCTGCTTAGAGAGCAGGTCATAGAAACAGATCTCCTTACTGGTGAAGGAACAGGCAATCTGGAGGAGGGACAGGAAGAGAAGGGACTGACCAGTCAGTATCCAAATATATTATATGGCAAGCAAAGATCCAGAACATCATAATGTCTAACTTGCATCATGATTCAGTGCCATATACTGTTTACTGAAGGAGCCTAGTAGCTCATTGTCCATTTTATCAGCTCCACTTACTATATAGGTGCACTTTGTAGTTCTACAGTTACAGACTGTAATGGACCCTCACAGAGCAGGTACTATTTGGGTGGTGGATCATTCTCAGCACTGCAGTAACACTGACGTGGTGGTGGTGTGTTAGTGTGTGTTGTGCTGGTATGAGTGGATCAGACACAGCAGTGCTGCTGGAGTTCTTAACACTGTGTCCACTCACTGTCCCCTCTATTAGACACTCCTACCTTGTCAGTCCACCTTGTAGATGTAAAGTCAGAGACGATAGCTCATCTGCTGCTGCACAGTTTGTGTTGGTCATCCTCTAGTCCTTCATCAGTGGTCACAGGACGCTGCCCACAGGACGCTGTTGGCTGGATATTTTTGGTTGGTGGACTATTCTCAGTCCAGCAGTGACACTGAGGTGTTTAAAAACTCCAGCAGCACTGCTGTGTCTGATCCACTCAGACCAGCGCAACACACACTAACACACCACCACCACCACATCAGTGTTACAGCAGTGCTGAGAATGACCCACCACCCAAATAGTACCTGCTCTGTGAGGGTCCATGGGGGTCCTGACCACTGAAGAACAGGGTAAAAGGGGGCTAACAAAGTATGCAGAGAAACAGATGGACTACAGTCTGTAACTGTACACCTGCATGGATGATTCTACCAAACTGGTCCAAAGTCAGAGCTGAAAACACATTTAGGACTTTTAACTGAATTAGACTAAATCCTTTTGCTTTGAGTGACTCTAGTCCTTAATCATGCTTATTTTATTAAAACAAATGATTAAAGATTCCATTTTGTCTCTACCAAAACAGTCATAACTCTACCCAAACTTTACCAAGTGTTTTATTAGTGACTGTTTCTGTGACGATTTTAGCTCATGTTGAGCTCAAAAACACAGCCAGTACATGACCAGAAACACAGCTTTGAACAGCTGTTCACACAGAAAATTATCATTTTTCCATTAAAATGCAAAAAAGTCACTTAATTGCAGAAATTCTGTGTTTCGGTAGTGACAATTCTTAAGATTTTCAGTCTTTGGGACACATTTACTTCAAAACAATGGGATCTAACTTCTCACCATGTGGCCTTGAGGGACAGGGATGCAGCCTCACTTTTGGCTCTAAAGTGCAGGGGCGTGGCTAAAATAAGGCTCCGCCCACATACTAAAACTCTGTTTCGGTGGTGATATAAAACATGGCACAGCATTTTTTGAACGTTTTGAGGTTGTTGTTTTTTTTTAATTTAACTCATGATCAAACTAAATCTTTCCACTTTGAAAGAAATCAAAAAAAGATCTTTTAAAACATTGAAAAAAAAAAACAAAAAATTGTAAGCATCATTTTCACAAGTGTAAATTTAGATGTTACGGTTTGGGACAGATGCCTTGCAATAGAAAGCTCCCTATAAATAATAATTTTGTATTTTTTTCCCTCTTTGTCGTTTTTCAGTTTTTGTCATAATCTGTAAATGCCTGTTGCTGTTTATGTTGTGTGAAATTTCATGATGAATGGACCAAAAGAAATGGCACAAAATGATTTGGAAAAAAGTCTGGTTCCACTGATTTACATTAAAAGTAAAGCATGTTTTTTCCTTCTCCTGTAAAGTTACCATTTTGGAGATACGAGGTTTTTTTCTGACAACACGATACATTTAGCTTACTAGTATCTTTATTAATGCCTTGGGTTTCAATAGATCTGAATATAATCCTTGTAAGTATCTAATATCGAATACTTCATTGTTTATTTAAATAGTTTTTTACTGTAGAAGTGCAGTTTGAACTAATTCAGTAAAACGGTCCATATAGGTTTCATCTGAATGACTGATGCCAGTTTACCTTGTGCACGTTGGGCAGCACCACCATGCCCGTTACCCAGAGGTCTTTGGGTTTGACTGAGTCATTGCTGAGACGGTGGTTCCGGAGCAGTGTGAGGCTCTTCTCGTCCCACACGGCCAGTGTGCCCTCTTTACTCACGCTGAGGTACCGTCTGCTGGTGGGCAGGTGGGTGATGCTGTGTATGGTGTCTCTGTGCGGTGCGGGCAGTGTGCGGGCGGGTCTCCAGCGGGGCACGGCCGCCGCCCTGGCGTGCTCCTCCTTATTGGACAGGCCCAGCAGAAGGAACGAGGCCAATCGCTCCCAGTCCACCCATCCCTCTCTGGACACGTCCACACTGTCAAACAAGCGGCCGTACTCTTCCTGAGAGCCACAGCCAATCACAGAGCAGCACTGCTCCACAAACTCTGCCCGCTGCATGGACACCGGCAAACCGGAGCTGTCAGACAGCTGCAGATGGAAATAACAGGTCAGTAAAGGTCAGTTTTCTCAGCAAAATCCAGAGGTGGGTAGAGAAGTCTAAACCCACACTCACGTAAAAGTACTTTCCTAAACAACAACTTGAGTAGAAGTACAAAAGTATTGGGTCAACAAACTACTGAGTAACTTATAGAACTACATTGAAAGTTCTTGCCAAGTCCAGCATCATCAGCTCTGGCCCTGATTTGTTCAGCTCTATTGTTCTCTTTTTTGGGATTCTTTTGGTCTAAAATAAAATGCTAAAACTCCCAAGTCAGAGATGTGACCAATCACAAAGCAGTGTAGGAGGTCAGCAACAGAACAGAATGAAATTAAACACAAAAAAGGAATTAGTAACTAAATATGAACGGCTAAAATGTAGCTGAGTAAAAGGCAGATTCCTATAATCATTAATAAACTGGAGTAGAAGTAAAAGTTTCTCTTTACTTCAGCTGATCTGTAGATGTGCTCTCAGCGAACAGTCTGTTAAAATGCATTTCTCTGTTTAAATGTGGCCTAAAACCAGGACAGAATATCAGTGGGTCCAAAATCAGAGCATAAAACATCAGCTTCATTATTTAATTTGCCTCTTTCTGAGCTTTAATATCTTATAGCTGAATTTTGTTTGAATTATTAATCCTTGTCCATACTCATATTATTTTATTTTCACTTTTACCTACAATCTTAAATGGCTTTTAGTTTAATTTTGTGATTAATTTATTTTTGTGGTTTAAATCTTGTTTTATTTGCACATTTCTTTATTGTTAAGCATTTTGAGCAGCAGCTGTATGTGTAAAATGTGATTTACAAATAAAATGAATAATAATAATAATAGTATTACAGACTACTATCTATTATTATTATTACTTTTATGTGCATATTATTTTTTATTATCTTTTTAGTGAAGCACTTTGAGCTACTTTTTATGCATAAAAAGTGATAAGTAAAATTAATAATAATAATAATAATAAATTCTAATGTGTGCTCATGAATGGTGCTCTCTCTCCCTCCTCCAATTTCTCTTCCTCCTGTCTCTTATTCTTTCTCTTGCTCTCTCTTTCTTTCCCTCTCGCTCTTTCTCTTCCTACTCCTACCCTTTCTTTCTCTCTCCCTTCTCTCCCTCTCTCTTCCCCTCTTCATCTTCTCTCTCTCTCTCCCTCTTCCTCCTCTCCCTCTCTTCCTTTTCCTCTCTCTTCCCCTCTTCATCTTCTCTCTCTCTCTCTCTCTCCCTCCTCTCCTCTCTCTTCCTCCTCTCCCTCTCTCTCTCTCTCTCTCTCTCCCCTCTCTTCCTCCTCTCCCTCTCTCTCTCTCTCTCCTCTCCCCCTCTTCCTCCTCTCCCTCTCTCTTTCTCTCTCTCTTCCTCCTATCCCCCTCTCTCTTTCTCTCTCTCTCTCTCTCTCTCTCTCTCTCTCTTCCCATCTTCATCTTCTCTCTCTTTCTCTCTCTCTCTTCATCCTCTTCCTCTCTCTCTCTCACCAGGAACAGACTCTGCATCTTCATAAAGTCCTCCATGCTCAGACGGCTCTCCAGCAGCTCCGCCTCCACCTCTGTCGCCATAGTTACACTTCACAGCAGCTGTCAGTCAGGAGCTAGAAGAGACGGCTGTGGGGTCCTCTGGGGGGACACAGAGGGAAAACTTCTGTCACACTGCAGCCCAGAACTGAGAGACACTACAGCTGTGATTACACAGTATAGACATCTAACGCAGCACTCAGAGACGACAAACACGGCTGTATGCAAAAGTTATGGCGCCCCTGGCCAAATTACATATACTTTCTATTTACTTGATAAATACCACAAAGAAAAACATAAAATATAAAATGTGCCACTTTTGCACAGACCAGATGTTACATGTGTATAGAATTCAGCCAATAAACAGCAACTGTGAATTAAAATGTACAGAAGTGTGTTCACTTAATTACGCTTAGAAAATCAATAACAGGCCGTTCAGCCAGAAGTGCCCAAACTTTTGAATATTACTGTATATATCAAAATGGCAACTTTACAGGAGAAGGAAAAAACATACTTTACTTTTAATGTAAGTCAATGGAACCAGAATTTTTTTCCAAGTATTTTTCTGGCAATTTCTTTTGGTCCATTCATCATGAAATTTTGACACAATATAAAGGGCAACAAGCACTTTCAAATTAAGTTAAAACTGAAAAACAAGATTCAAGGTTTTGTTCCGACAGCAGTAATTAATATATATATATATATATATATATATGTATATATATTATATATATTATATATATATATATATATATATATATATATTATTAGTACAATACTCCACCAATTTTTCTAACATGTCTACATAATTCACCCATTGAGATGTAAACAGAGAGATTCAGAGTGGTTTGGTGTGAAATGGTTCAGATGTCTTTACAGTGGTGGTGATAGGAACCAGGGGTCGCCATGACTACAACACAAATATAGACATTTTATTTACTATCCAGAACCACCAGTGAACCTACACGAGTCTTCTGAGTTTATATGGAATGTTGATGATGGGAAATAGTGGAAAATCGGAAATAATATGTTTTCTTTGGGGACTATTTTGCCTCACAACACCCTGCATGTATCCCTCCACCATAAATAGATTTACAAAATAGTTTTCAAAAAAAACATCTTCTTAAAACTATCAGTCATCAGGCAGTGAATTCATAACCATTTCATGTAGGAACTTTCTGTGAGGGAGCTTTTAGAGGTGGACGTCTGGTTCCTATCACCACCACTGTGAACAGTTCTGACTCAGTAAGTTTCTCTAGAATGGAGCGTTTCACACCACCCACTCTGAACCACTCTGAACCGCTCTGAACCACTCTGAACCCTCTGAACCGCTCTGTTTACATCTTAACCATTTAATTATGCAGAAATATTTGGTGGAATTCTCCTTTAAGGTCACCTGTTGCTGACACAGACATTCAATTGCACACACAGCTTGTCTAAACTCCATAGGAAAGCACTGAATAGAATGGGACACTCTGGAGCAGCTGCACCTGAGCCGAAGGTCACCAGGCCCAATGCCAAGCGTGGGCTAGAGGGGTATAAAGACCCCCAGCATTGGGCTGTGGAGCAGTGGAGCTGTGTTCTCTGGAGTGATGGAGCTCCATCCAGTACCTCTGGGATGAGTTGGAGTGATCTAGAACTGACCATCCAACATCAGTACCTGACCTCGCTAATGCTCAATCAAATCCTCACAGCAATGTTCCAACATCTAGTGTAAAGCCTTCCCAGAAGAGTAGAGGCTGTTACTGCAGCAAAGGGGGACAAACTCACTACACACTTAAAAATTTAAGGGTTCTACAGTAAAGAAAATTGTTCTATATAGAACCATGAACACTCTAAGAACACTTTGCATGATTAGGAGGTTCTTTGCATGGTGAAACTGTTACTCAGATTGGTGAGGAATGTGCTGTAGATGGTTCTGTAAAGCATCAATAAGTGTTCTTCTATTGCTATATCAGGCATGTTACAATAGAAGAACCCTTTTCAATAAGGTTCTATAGAGAACCATCTACAGCACATTGTCCATCATGGTGAAATTGTTCCTCAGATTGATGGAGAATGTGTTGTGTATGATTCTGTATAGAACCTTTTTGAACCTTTTTTCAACCTTGTAACAACAGAAGACCCCTTTTTGGTGCTATATAGAACGCTTTTCAAAAAGGTTCTGTATAGAACCATCTATAGCAAATTCTCCATCAATCTGAAGAGCCCTTTCATGATGCAAAGAACCACTTAATCATGCAAAGGGTTCTTTGAGTGTTCACAGTTCTATATAGAACCATTGTCTTTATGGTAGAACCCTTAAAGAACCATCTTTTTTTAAGTGTGTAGTGAGTTTGTCCCCCTTTGCTGCAGTAACAGCCTCTACTCTTCTGGGAATGCTTTACACTAGATTTTGGAACATTGTTGTGAGGATTTGATTGAGCACTAGTGAGGTCAGGTACTGATGTTGGATGGTCAGTACAGGTACAGGATGGAGCTCCATCAATACTACAAAGTGCACCTATATAGTAAGTGGAGCTGATAAAATGGACAATGAGCGTAGAAACAAGGAGGTGGTCATAATGTTATGCCTGCTTGGTGTGTGTTTCATATCTAAATGCTCCGTTATCTTCATCACTACTTTCCAAAACCGCTGCAGCAGCTTCAGCAGCTGTAAACTCTCTGGACGCCGTTTCACATGAGTCTCCGATGTGGACTGAATGAAGAATAAAGGGTTTCCGGCGTGATGGTCAGTCCTTAGTGATTTCCTGAGTGTCCATTGGTCAGTTTCACACAGAATGTAGACGGACACACCAATCCACCAGTTCCACACGGTGAGAGGCAGATGACGTGTATCTCAGCCCCTCTTCATAGGCTCATAACTCCGGATGTGAGTCTCGTATGATCTCGTGATAAGATGGAATGGAAAGGGCGACTCTACAGATTCAGGAAGTGTTTTAACTGGATTTCTGAGCTGGATCATCACAAAGATACAGACACAGATATAGAAACAGAGAATTTGACATGTGGGCACATTCGTGGACGCCAGAAGTTTAAAGATCTAAAATGTAGAGCAAAATTACACAAAGAAAATGGTCAATATGACAACGAGCGGCTACTACTGGAGATATTGTGCTAAGTATTTTTAGAAATCGCTCAGGCCAAGTTTGAAGACTGGTTTCAGTTCTGGCCATGTTGAAAATTAAAACTCACGTTATGTCTCAGATGCACAGGCGCAGAACACACTTAAACTTTCTGTCTAGGAATGTAATCTGCACACACATTTATATGGCTGTTATTCTTCTATTTAACAGATTATTTACAGGATTACCCACCTTATTCGATCTGATAGAAACTGCCTCAATCAGCTAGTCAATCCTGATTGAGGTGTTTACATGTACGCACTCAATTCCGATTGAGCTGTTAGTCAGATTATTACCAGATTATCATGCTGCATGTAAACATGGCTACCGATCAACAAGCCACAGTCATGACATAAACCAGACAGACTGGTTCCACAGCAGAGAAGGTGCTTGACAGGGCTGCCCACTGTCACCATATCTGTTCAACTAGTATGCTGAACATGTAATAGGAGTAGCAGGACTGGAGGAAGATGACTGAGCATTCAGTAGGAAGAATAATCAATAACATTCGATATGCAGATGACATGGCACTTATAGTAGAAAGCCAGGAAGACCTGAAGGCCCTCAGTCTATAAGTCTAGGCTAAAAACCTACTTGTTTAGTGGAGCCTTTGGTAATTAGTTTTCCCTGTTAGATACTGGGAGTGTTGGTGCTGTCGTCCCGCTGCTCTCACTCACTCACTCACTCACTCAGGTTTGTTGACAGTAGAGCAGAGGGGCGCTGACATCTCAGGGAGCCTCATGACTCTGTTACCTTTCTGGCTCTCTCTTTTTAGTGATGTTGAAAATGAATGGGAGTCTATGTGAGAAACGAGGGATGAAAAAACAACACATAGAGGAGTGCAGGTCAGTGTGGCTGTGGATTAGAGCCTGGGGACCTGCACTGAGTTAGTACATTTTGGTTGCTGTTGGGCAAAGGAAATAATAGGGCTGGGGTTTGGGAGGAAATGAATGGGACTCTATGGGAGGAACGAGAGATGAAAAAATAACACTAGAGGAATGCAGGTCAGCATGGCTGTGCAGTAGAGTTTGAGGTCCTACCCTTAGTGAGTACATGTAGTTTGGTGACTGCCGGGCAAAGAAGTAGTAGAGTTTGTGTGCTGGAAAAAAATGAATGGGACTCTATAGGAGAAACGAGGGATGGGAAAAGAAAACACAAACAGATGAGTGCAGGTCAGAACAACATTGAATTCGTGCTCGGGAGTCTGCCCTGAGATAGTATGTAAAACAATGTTTTTCAGGCAAGCAGAAGTACAGTAGATGGTCATGCAATTTTGCACCCCATTCATTCCTATAGGAAAAAAATTCGGAATTTAACGAAGATTGTACGAAAACCGCGCGTCCGATCAAAAAGCTGTATATAAGCCTGAATCACACAATCAGGCTGGACAATCTGGAGTTGAAACAGTGTTGATACCTCAATAACTGCAGGGCTGCTTTGCAATGCGTTTACAGATATATTACACTTGAAAAACATGTTAGAGTTACAATTTATTTCATATTTTAAAATAAAACAATAAGTTATTTTAACAATTACACCTTCTTGAGCCTCAATTTAGTAATATTGTTTTTTAAATCAATTATATAGAATTCCATGCACCACACAAGAGCTTGTCCTCACAGTCGTGTGTGAAGGCTGAGGCCATATTTTGAGATAAAAATCACATTTTTCTGCAATTCTAACTGCAATAATCTATACATGACTATGGAACATATAAATTAAATGACATAAAGAATACAAAAGCCAAATAAATATTATAAAATATATAATGAAAGTTGTCCCCAGGAGTCGTGTCACTGGTGTTACTGCATAACAAAATATCCCTTATTTTGAAATAAAAGTCACACTGATGACATCACTTCACTTCCTTTTACCTGTTTTCTGAGGATCTATGAAGAAAAGCTCATGGTGAGTCCACTGTGTCTTTCAGTTATCAGAGATTTTCTCATTTAGCTCATGATTTCATATGAAGCTTTTAGCTGACGTCACTGGTGTGACCGACTTTATTCTGAGGTAACTGTGAAAAAACAGAACACAAATGGATTAAATTCCATATTTTAGTGGATATTCCATGATTGACAGCATGTGGTTTGATGCTCTGCAGCAGCCATTTAGTAAAATGTCTCTGGTGTTTCCTTTATTATGTGTAACACCAGTGAGGATCAGTAACACCAGTGACTCCTATGGACAGATAGAAAAGTGGACGTTTCTGTAGAATGACCCAGATGCTATTGGGTGGAGTGCCTTGAGAGCATCGACAAGTCTGAGACATAACAATCGCGAGTAAACAAGCAAATGATTGTCGTTCACTGATCACACAACGGTAAACAACAACAAGAGTGAGTGGAGGAGAAACCAGCAGAGGAGCAGAAAACTAAAGAGCCGCAAGACCACAGTAAAAAACCTACCCATCATCCTTTGTGTAAGGCAGGTCCAACACTGTTCAGGGTCTTCAAAGCTTCCCACAAGGAGTTTCTGTGAACGTCTTCTTTTTATTCTTTAAAAAAAAAACAAAAAACTCAAGTTCAAGTGCTGGCCAGGAGGGAGGGAGGGAGGGAGAGAGGGAGAGGGAGAGAGAGAGAGAGAGAGAGAGAGAGAGAGAGAGAAAGTACAAAAAGAAAGGGAAGAGAGAGAGAGAGAGAGTACAAAAAGAAAGGGAAGAGAGACAGAGAGAAGATACAGAGAGAGGAGAGAGACAGAGAGAGAGAGTACAAAGAGAAAGCTGAAGAGGGAGGGTGAGACAGAAAGAGAGATGGAGAGAAAATGAGAGAGTGAGAGAGAAAAGAGATTTAAAGAGAGCTAGAAATTGGAAAAAGGAAGTGATTTAAAGAGATAAGAGACAAGATTCAGAGAGAGGGAGAGAAAGAAAAAAGAGAGGGAGAGAGAAGTGAGAGCGAGAAAAGGGACAGTTGTTGAAGAAAAATAAAGGCAGAGTACAAAAAGAGAGAGCAAGAGCGAGAGAGAGCAACAGAGAGAAGAGAGGGAGAAAAATAGAGAGAGAGCAATAGAAAGAAGAGAGAAAGCAAGAGAGAGAAAAAGAGAGAGAACAATAGAGAGAAGAGAGAAAGCAAGAGAGAGAACAAGAGAGAGAAGAGAGAAAGCAAGAGAGAGAACAAGAGAGAAAAAGAGAGCAATAGAGAGAAGGAAGAAATAGAGAGAACAAGAGAGAGAAAAAGAGAAAGAGCAATAGAGAATGAGAGAGAAAAAGAGCAATGGATAAGAGAGAGAGAAAAAGTGAGAGCAATAGAGAGAAGAGAGAGAGAAAAACAGATAAAGAGCAACAGAGAGCTGAGAGAGCTTTGAGAGTAAAGCTGAGTGACCACCAGCAAAGAACACAGACGCACATCGACACAGTCCTTCTTTATTATCCCCTCTTTTAAAGCCTCGGGTGTGTCTCCTGGCAACGGGCGAGCGAGACGCGGCCGTGTTTGTGCGTCTGGCCCGTTCCTCTGTTCACAGATTGGACACAAGAGAAAAGCTCATCGAAGCCTGGGGCACTTTTTCCCCCGACACACACACACTCACACTCACACTCACACACACTCACACACACTCACACACACTCACACAGCGTTTTATTACAGTTTCCACACCGCTCTCAGCTCGGCCTCCCCTTCCACCCGCTCGGCCGCTCCACAGGCCTTTAAAACAATAGTTGTTGAGGTGTTGAGGGATTTAGACCAAAGGCTTTATTCTCACACCTCCTGCTTCAGCCACAACAAACCCCGTCACCATGGGAACTGATTACTGCCCAATTCACTCCATAATAACTCATCTTACAGCACATTTCATGCCCTACCTACACTCTCAGTCTCTTAGGATTGAAAAAAGATCTAATAAATAAACAAGAAAAGACATTTTAATACTCTGCTGTGGCTGGTCCAACCAGTCTGAGGGCATACAGTGCTGTGAAAAAGTAAGCACACCCCATGGATGGGCCACTTAATTAGAAGCACCTACTTCGTACCTACGTTCATTGGCCATTTTATCAGAAACACCCCAAATTTATAGACCTATATACTCTAGGCAGCTGCTTATCTATGAGGTGCAGCGCCAGTCAAAGGTTTAGAATCAATGTTATCAAAAAATCTAAAATAAGTCAGAGTCTGAGCTCAAAACACATCTAGGGCTTTTAACTGACTTTAGACTAAAATCCTTTTGGTTTGAGTGACCCTAGACCTTAATTATGTTTAGTTTATTAAAACTACATACATACATCATCTAAACCACTTATCCTCGACTGAATAAAAGTGTGAAAATTACATTTATCCAAGAAACTTCATATGTGCAACCTTAGATTCCTCTCAGGTACAGCTATACAACATTTTCATCACTTTCGACCAATCAGAACAGATTTCTCAGAGAGAGAGAGAGAGAGAGAGAAAAATTTAGCATGGCCAATCAGGACATTGGACAGGCTGATTGGACATGCTAAATGCATGTGACTGCATGTTTTTGGACTAATAAAACTAATGATTGAATTTTCTTTTTTGTCACTTTTTTGTCAAAAGTCATAAAACTACCCAAACTTTACTAAGTGTTTCAGTAAAAGATTTAAAAATTTAAAAACATATAAAATAATACCAAAAGCAAGTATGTATAATTTTCATTACTGTAAACTTAGGGGCTGGGTTTGGGACAGACTCCTCCCACAAGAAAGCACCCTATAAATGATGATTTTGTATAGATTTAGCTTATTGCTGTCTCTATCAAAGCCTTGGGATTAAATAGATCAGAACATAACTCTTATAAATATCTGATATTATATTTAATTGTTGAGGATTCTGGGTAATTTTCTGTTAAATATGTTTTCCACTTTTTCTTGACATTGGAAAAAGAAGAAAAGTGGACAGGGACAGTGGACAGTGAGCGTACACAGGGTATATGTGTCTAATAAAGTGGTCAGTGAGCGTATGCAGGGTAGATGTGTCTAATAAAGTGGACAGTGAGCGTATGCGGGGTAGATGTGTCTAATAAAGTGGACAGTGAGGGTATACGGGGTAGACGCGTCTAATAAAGTGGACAGTGAGCGTGTGCGGGGTAGACGCGTCTAATAAAGTGGTCAGTGAGCGTATGCGGGGTAGACGCGTCTAATAAAGTGGTCAGTGAGCGTATGCGGGGTAGACGCGTCTAATAAAGTGGACAGTGAGCGTATGCGGGGTAGACGCGTCTAATAAAGTGGACAGTGAGCGTATGCGGGGTAGACGCGTCTAATAAAGTGGACAGTGAGCGTATGCGGGGTAGACGCGTCTAATAAAGTGGACAGTGAGCGTATGCGGGGTAGACGCGTCTAATAAAGTGGACAGTGAGCGTATGCGGGGTAGACGCGTCTAATAAAGTGGTCAGTGAGCGTATGCGGGGTAGATGCGTCTAATAAAGTGGACAGTGAGGGTATACGGGGTAGATGCGTCTAATAAAGTGGACAGTGAGGGTATACGGGGTAGATGCGTCTAATAAAGTGGACAGTGAGCGTATACGGGGTAGACGCGTCTAATAAAGTGGTCAGTGAGCGTATGCGGGGTAGATGCGTCTAATAAAGTGGACAGTGAGCGTATGCGGGGTAGACGCGTCTAATAAAGTGGACAGTGAGCGTATGCGGGGTAGATGCGTCTAATAAAGTGGTCAGTGAGCGTATGCAGGGTAGATGTGCCTAATAAAGTGGTCAGTGAGTGTATGCAGGGTAGATGTGCCTAATAAAGTGGACAGTGAGTGGACACACACCTTATTGTACCTACGTTCATCTCTGAAGACTAAAATACAGAAATAAACTCATATTAATTTTCCACTGCAGCTTCTGTGGCTCCCTGCAGTAAAAGCCCTGCGCAGCTTTAGTCCCCAGACTCCCCATAAATAACCTCATCCCTCCACTGAGATCAGCTGTACTGTACACTTATACTGTAAATGTACAGCTCCCTCCAGAATCACCAGTGCCTTGGCTAAAAATGAGCAAAAAACACTTTGAACCATTCAAACTTAGAACAAAGTAACAAATTCTCAGAACTTTTCACTAAGGGTGCCAAAAACTCCAAATCACTGTACATCTACCCACTGCTGTAACTGTTATGGTTATATAACTGTGTATATATAACATCATAACTGTACATTTACTCCATGTTTACACTATTTGTATGCATAACACACTGATTCTGTATATCTTATTCATAGACGTATACAGTGTAGTTCATTAATTTATGCACCAGATAGACAGATGAAGACAGATATACAGATAGACAGACATAGATAGCAAGACAGACAGATAGACAATAAACAAGCAGATAGACAAATAGAAAGACAAAAGGGATAGATAGGTAGATAGGTAGATAGACAGAGATAGATAGATAGATAGATAGATAGATAGATAGATAGATAGGTAGATAGATAGATAGATAGATAGATCGTAAACAAGCAGATAGAAAGACAAACAGACAAATAGACAGAGATAGATAGATAGATAGATAGATAGATAGATAGACAGTAAACAAGCAGATAGTAGACAAACAGATAGAAACAGAGATAGATAGACAGGTAAGTGCAAAGACAGCCAGACAGATAGAAAAACAGCTATACAGACAAAAAATACATCACATTGTGACCTTAACTGTACTAAACCTACGCCTGTTATAATTCTCAATTAAAAGTATTGATTGATTAAAACCTCTCCTCTCAGTGAATCTGCAGTGATTAGCTGTTTGTGTGGTGCATATTTTGAACTCCTACTTACCTTCTCCTTTAAAACAGAGCCTGACGGACACACACTTACATGCATGTTTTTACGTATATATTCTACAGAACTTTTTAAAAGCTTTGCTTATCGTTTTCCAGTAAAGCGTCTTCAAGTAAACGACCCTGAAGTATCTTTGAAAGTCCTGCATGGTTTGTGATTGTTCATTTAAATAAACTGTATTGTTTGAAACACTCTTTTTAAACTGCAGCTACGCAAATAATCGTTAAAATAATCAGTGGGCTACTCCATTACTAACATACACTGCTGCTACATAGGACAGTGGCCTGTGCGAGTTGCGCCCCCTAGACTTCATATTGGTCTGAAAGGCCACATCACAGACTTCAGCCCAACTGTTGACATGCTGGACCCTGATTGCAGCAGCGAGGCCTTTCCACTCGTCGTCCATTGCTTCTGCTACCGTTGACCCACAACCGCAGGCACCTGCGGCTGCAACTGTACCAGGTATGTTGCCAAATGTATTATGGCTGGCATTGCTTTCTTTCTGGACAAGTCTCACTTCAGTTTACTGCACCACGATAGGCGAATCAGTGTATGGAGGCACTGCAGCGTAGGGCTCATAGTGGAATGTATTCCACAGCACCATACAAGTCCAACACCAGCGGTTATTGTTCAGAGTGTCATTGGGTTCCACTCCTGTTCACGCCTACATCGGAGAGGCGTTGGAGCCTAAGATGGTCTCCCGATACCATAACCAACAGGACAATGCTTGACCATGTGGCACAAAAAGTCAGACAGTTAATGGATAACCACCATGTGCCAAGATATGTAATGAGTTCAGGTGTCTGCGCTGAAGCGCAGTGTCTATCCTCTGTTGCATCACTCAGTAAAGTGTTCCAAACTGCCTCTGGACGCAACATCAGCAACAGAACTGCACATCTGGAGCTTCATGAAATGTGTTTCTATGGCTGAGCAGCTGCACACAAGCCTAAGATCACTATGCACAATACCAAGTGTTGGCTGGAGGGGTGTAAAGTGTCGCCACTGAACTCTGGAGCAGTGAAACGTGTTCTCTGGAGTGATGAATCAGCTTCACTATCTGTCAGTCTGATGGATGAATCTGGGTTTGGTGGATGATGGAATTACATTACCTACTGGAATGCACAGTGCCAACAGTAAAGTTTGGTGGAGGAGGGATGATGGGCTGGGCTGTTTTTCAGGGTTTGGGCTCTCAGTTCCAGTGAAGGGTGATGTTAAAGTTACAGCACAAAGACATTTTACACCATTATCTGCTTCCAGCTTTGTGTCAGCAGTTTGGGGAAGAGCCTTTCCTGTTCCAGCATGACTGAGCCCCTGTGCACAAAGCAGCTCCATAAAGACATGGTTTGACGAGTCTGGTGTGGAGGAACTCCAGTGGCCTGCACAGAACCCTGACCTCAACCCCAGTGAACACCTTTGGGATGAACTGGAACATCGACTGTGAGTCAGGCCCTCTCGTCCAACATCAGTGCCTGACCTCACAAATGCTCTTCTGATTGAATGGGCACAAATTCCCACAGACACTCTCCAACATCTTGTGGAAGATGTAGTGGAAACTGCAAAAGGGGGCAACTCCATATTAATGTCCACAATTTTGAAATAGCACAAGCTCATATGGGTGTGCTGCATAGTTGTCCACATACTTTTGGCCACAATAGTGTATATTAAGCATGGCCAGTGGTGCAATCGACAGTGACAACTCTATGAACAACAACGAATAACGCCTATCCAGGGGATGTACTTACTTTCTCACAGCACCGAACCGTCCCCATGAGTGGACGTAAAATGAGCTCACTGCCCCGTGTGGAGAGCAGAAGAGGGCTGAGATTTTTTCATTTTCTCATGGTCCAGAGTTCCTCAGGGATAGTTGAGTGACCGTGCCTGATTTCCTCCACATCGCTTAATGGCTCGAAATAATCAGAATTAGCTGATTGGAGCCTCCGCCAATGGAGACGGGGCTTTAAAATCAGGTCACAGCCATTTAATTAATATCCCTTTCAAAACACAGGCTTTTAGAAGGATTAAAAAGGGTCGAAACAGATACGGAGCACATATTAGCAAAATCCTCAGGGTACAAAAAAAAAGAAAAAAAAAGAAAGGTTTCTAAATGAAGGCAAAGAAAAGAAACCAAAACATGTTCCAGTGAAACCTTTCCAACATGTGCGGTGCATTTATTTGAATATTTCTGCTACCAAATATTTATTAAATATACAACACCCATCTGTCCACTCTGCGGAGTTGAGCGCGGTCAGATGGGGCAGGAAAAGTCCAGTATTTACAGAGAAAAGGAGGAACGAAGGGAGGAATAGCTGAGAATAAAATGACATGAAAAACTCCAGGCCTCTTAACTCAGCTACAGGAGAGAATTAGGGATTAGATGAGGGGGAAAAAAGAGAGAGAGAGAGAAAGAGGAGGAGGAAAACAGATCAGGCCTGAAGTGTTTGCCCCATTAGCCAGGATTCATAAATTACACAGTCCAAAAGTTTGTACATGTTCATATAAAGGTTATATTAAAGTTACAAAAGAAAAGAGGGAGAAAAAAAGGCAGATTTTTATGCAACTGTTTTAAAAGTCTGAAGAATCAGGTTGGTTTGGTGGATCAGCCGGTTGGCACTGATGAACACGTTTATTGCCCTGAAGAAAGAAAAAAAGATATTGGATCAATATAATGTCTGTATATAAGTAGGTACATGCATCATTATTATTATTATTATTATTATTATTATTATTATTATTATTGTTATTATTATTATTATTATTATTATTGTTATGAATGCACAGAACATATAGAATTTATAGGCCAATAAGGATAATCAGTAATGACTACCCTCACCCAAAATCAATAACTGATAATTGTACTTTTTTGTGCACTGATCTTAAAACTAGATTATTAAATTATTCACCAGTTTATAAAGCCATGATAGCACTACATCAGACATGAGTTACTGTAAACATCTGCATTATTTTATATAAATATTTTACATTATTCATCAGAACATATTATTGTTGTTATTATTATTATTATTTTTTTTTTTTTATGTAGGCATAACATTATGACCTTGTTTCTATGCTGTGTGTTGCGCTGGTCTGAGTGGATCAGACACAGCAGTGCTGCTGGAGTTTTTGAGCGTAGAAACAAGGAGGTGGTCATAATGTTGTGCCTGATCGGTGTATATATGAAGTGCACTGATGTTAAAACTGATTATTTACTAATTAATACATTACGTTATAATTTTGTAAATATATCATTATTTATCAGAGGCTCTTATGCAGAGCCACTTACAATAGCGAATCTAACATTAGGAATTATTAGTAACAGGTATTTTAATCATTTCATCAGCACATATAGTGGCCAAGTATACATTGTGACCATCTAATTATTATAATTATTACTATTATCATCAACACTAATACTGGTATTAACTGTATGACTACTACACCGTGTGTGATGGACTGTGTTTTTGCAGCTAATTGAAACTAGACAGGTTGGAAAGACTAACAAATTAGCCACGATGGTAACGTTAGCTTGATTACATGACAACACTAAACCTGATCTAGTCTAAAAAACTAAATAATTTTCATTTGAAATGAATAACTGACTCTAAATGTAGGTATTGTGATATAAACTGAGTCTGTTCTACAGTTTCTCATTAGGCTGAATGAATAACCGACTCTAAATGTAGGTATTGTGATATAAACTGAGTCGGTTCTACAGTTTCTCATTAGGCTGAATGAATAACCGACTCTAAATGTAGGTATTGTGATATAAACCGAGTCTGTTCTACAGTTTCTCATTAGGTTGAATGAATAACCGACTCTAAATGTAGGTATTGTGATATAAACTGAGTCTGTTCTACAGTTTCTCATTAGGCTGAATGAATAACTGACTCTAAATGTAGGTATTGTGATATAAACTGAGTCTGTTCTACAGTTTCTCATTAGGCTGAATGAATAACTGACTCTAAATGTAGGTATTGTGATATAAACTGAGTCGGTTCTACAGTTTCTCATTAGGCTGAATGAATAACTGACTCTAAACGTGGATATTGAGTCCCATTATTGATTTCTTTTCTTATGTGTCACTGCAAATGAACTGATAATGTACTTTGTAAAAGAGCGGTCATGTTATTTCAATGCCGTGTCAATGAGCCTGTCATGCTTTGATCGCGACACGCTCTCAGATCACGCGTTATTGACCAGGAAAGAAAGTCACTTTGAGGATTCATATTAAAGCAACATGGCTTGATACATTAAGGAGTGAAACTAAAATGCCCCATTAAAAAAAGCAGATTAAATATGCATGGAGTTCTGAAGAGCTACTTACTTTCCATCTTTGAAGTATGTTTTCAGCGTGTCGCTGAAGCTTTTAGAGTATTTCACAAACTCTTTCTTCTGATGCTCTAATGCCTGCAAAACAAAAAGGAACTTTAACTTATTGGCCACAGTGACGGGACTTCACAGGCATGTGTTAATGATGGGAATTATCACTTATTTTATATTCGATTCAGGATCAGAATCACTTTATTCTACCAAGCATGTTACACATACAAGGAATTTGCCTTGGTGAGTCACACATATTAACAAGTATTTAACTAACGGCAAAAGTAAAATAAAATACAATATAAAATAAAGAACAATAATGAAAAACAGAAGCTCAGGGAATGTACATATGAGATGTGTGGATATCTATACATATGCAGATATAAACTGTCTAGTAGACATGTACTATAAAATATACTATAAAAACTATTATATCACTGCTGTCGGAACAAAACCCTGCATCTCCATTTGTGTCGTTTTTCAGTTATTGACAATCTGAAAATGCCTGTTGGCCTTTCCATTGTTTCTAAATTTCATGATGAATGGACGAAAAGAAGCGGCCCAAAATGACTGGAATATTGAAAAATATTTGCCCATTTTGAATTTGATGCCAACAATATGTTCCAAAAAAGTTGGGACTGGGGCAACAAAAGGCTGGTAAAGTTGTGTAATGCTACATAAACACCTGGTGGTTAATTGGCAACAGGTCAGTAACTTGACTGGATATTAAAACAGCATCTCAGAGAAGTTGTCTCAGAGTCTTTCACAAGTTAAGACAATGTCAAACCACATTCTGCATGTATTACAGCAGCATTGCTCCGTATTAAGAGTCCGGGTGCTGAACTGACCTGTCCGCAGTCCAGACCTGTCACCACTGAAAACATATGGCGCATTATGAAATTAGAAATACAACAAAGGAGACCCTGAACTGTTGAGCAGCTGAAATCCTGTATCAAACAAGAACAGGAAAACATTTCACTTTCTAAACTACAGCAGTGTCTCCTCAGTTCCCAAACACTTACAGAGTGCTGTTAAAGAAGAGGTGATGAAACACAGTGGTAAACAGGCCCCCGTCCAACTTTTTTGGAACGTGTTGTTGGCATCAAATTCAAAATGGGCATATATTTTTCAAAAACAATACAATTTCTCAGTTTCAACATCTGATATGTTGTCTTTGTAGTATCTTCGTTTAAAAAATATGGTTCACTTGATTCGCATATCACTTAGCAAACTGGCTTACTGTCCAAAGAAGGAAACACAGAAAGACTACTGCAGCTACCTGAAGGCTAATGCAAAAAAACAGATACATAAAGATCAAACTCATTTCACACTGTACAATTTTTGATGTCCACATTTAACATTTTTCACTGTAGATTTCACTAAGAAGACTTGTTTAACTAGCTGTATTAGGGGTGGGTGTTCCAGTCCAATTTGTAAAGCATTATTCCAAAACTAGTATACAAATACGTACAGCTACAGACCACAAATCCATACTAGGTGACGTGGCTGGAAATTACACCAAGAAGGTGTCAATCCAGTCTTGGAGATACCACTTACCTCAGCTAACGTTACCAGCCCACTGACATCACAACTAATTTCATTTTGTATCTTTCAGCTGGAAAGTTTAATTTCATTATATCTATATGAGCAGAGTAGGGTTCAGTAACAAGAAAATGCTGAATGGACGCTGCGTTTTGCCGGCCTGATGTGTCCGGCGTGCGGTCGCCTGTAGCCTTGCATATTTTACAATTATTACATTATTTTTTGTAAATAATGCCCTACAAATTCATATAGCAAACTCTCATACTTAATACAGATAGTGTTACAAGTGATATCTACAGTGAAAACAGTTAAAAGTGGTCATGAAAAATGTATTTGAGCTTTTGCAGAAGTATTAAATAAATTTAAAATCAAACTTACCTAAAGGAGTAAGATAACTCCACTAATTCAAATTCAAAAATCAAAAATAAATAAACACAAAAAATCATATTTTGTTTTTACTGTCTATACTTCATCACTGTGTAAACAGTTCTTCCAGTTTCATTTGCATATTTAGAATAAAACAAGGACAGTGTCATTGATGTAAAGCAACGCTGTTATGAAGCAAATTCTAATGGCGCCCCCTTGTGGAGATATTTTAGCCTGCTAAATGTGAGTGAGTTACAAGGCAGTTCCATGAGGTGCTGCACATCTAAAAATAATTATAATTGTGCCAGAATGATTGTAATGAATTGAATTGTGATGAAATATGAGATTTCATGATGCATTGAATTGCTAAAGAATTGCAACAGCATTAAATCAAGATCATAGATCTGCATCCCCAGTGAGGATCAACTCTCAAGTGGAAACGGTGTGGAAGGAAATGGATTAGAAATATCAATACTTCAGTATTGATCCGCCCACCACTAGAGTGTGTGTGTGTGTCACTCACTCGTCTGTTCTGATACTGGTATTTCTTAAAGACGTTGTTGACTGTATCCAGCAGCTCTTTGATGGCACTCGCTATGTCTCTGTGGGAGGCAATAAAAGAGCGGTTAGATAAAACTACTGTTTCAGACACTTCACACTCGCTGCTCCACCTGAAACAGAAGAGGAGCTGACAGTCTCTCACGTCTCACTTTACTACTGTTTTATCAACTTTCACAACTAATTACTCAACAACTGGTCGCAGAACTGGGAAATACTGAGGGAGATAGAAAACCCACAAGAGAGATGCAGGAAAATAATACTGTACAATTAAAAAGGTTGCATCCTACATTTTTCTTGCATCTCTGCTCCACTTATGATGTCTGTGTGGGTTTATGTAACAAAAATAGCCTTAATTAATTTTTACATGACCATTTTCCAACCTCTCTTCATTCCAATATGCTGTATATCCCTTTGTAACAACTTCACATTTAAGAAGTTAAAACAGCTGACAGATCAGCAGCTGACAGATCGTCAAAAACACGTTTTCATTTTTCTTATTAGAGATGGTTTTAATCATAATACATCGCTAACAGCTCTTGTTTGTGTATAACCCACTCCCAACAACGTGTATGATAAAATTCTTTAAGTAGTCTGTAATGCGTTTTGAAATAAAACGCTCAGACCATTGCAATGATATTCCAGCTAGGCTGTTGCTGTGGTACCCCAGGTGGTTGCTAAGATGTTGCTAGACCATTGCAACTGTACTCCAAGTGGTTGCTAAGGTGTTGCTAGGCTGCTGCTATGGTGGCTACTTAGATGTTGCTAGGCCATTACTATGTTATTCTAGGTGGTTGCTAAGGTGTTGCTAGGCTGTTGCTGTGGTATTCCAGGTGATGGCCAAGGTGTTGCTTGGCCATTGCAACGGATTCCAGGTGGTTGCTAAAGTGTTGCTTGGCCACTGTTATGTTATCCCAGATGGTTGCTAAGGTGTTGCTAGGACACTGGTATGTTATCCTAGGTGGTTGCTAAGGTGTTGCTAGGCCATTGCTGTGGAATCCCAGATGGCTGCTTAGGTGGTGCTAGGCCATTACTTTTTATCCTAGGTGGTTGCTAAGGTGTCGCTTGGCCACTGCAACGGATTCCAGGTAGTTGCTAAGGTGCTGCTAGGCCATTGCTATGGTATCCCAGATGGCTGCTTAGGTGGTGCTAGGCCATTACTTTTTATCCTAGGTGGTTGCTAAGGTGTTGCTTGGCCCTTGCAACGGATTCCAGGTAGTTGCTAAAGTGTTGCTAGGCCACTGTTATGTTATCCTAGGTGGTTGCTAAGGTGTTGGTTGGCCATTGCAACGGTATTCCCGGTGACTGCTTAAATGTTGTGAGGCCATTACTATGTTATACCAGGTGGTTGCTACGGTGTTGCTAGGCTATTGCCATGTTATCTCTTTGCTAAGCTTGCTTAGTAAGACTAGTTATTCCACACTTTTCAATGGCTTCTTTAAATGGCTTATGCGTGCTTACTTGATGGTCTGCAGGAAGCGCACTCTGTCATTGATTTCGTCTGGGATTTTGCTGAGAATCTGCTTCAGTGCTCGAGCTCTCTCATTCAGCTCCTGAAACTCGCGCTCCGGCCGGTCGATCATGTACTCTGCAGACACAAAGTCAACAGTCATGGCTGTTATAACACACGGCACAACATTGAAACTATGCACTGTGTTTATAAATCCAGAAACTAATTGTGACAGCCCTTTTCAGCTTCTCTAAAAACCCCCAAAATAATGGCGTAACTGTGATATGAACATATCAATATATCACTACTGTTGGGACAAAACCTTGTATCTCCATTTCTACATTTTCATTTTTTGATATAATATAAAATCACCCGCTACCATTTAAATCGCCCCAAATCTGCATGATGAACAGAGCGATAGAAATGGTCCAAAAGGAATAAATCATTTCTCCATTCACGTCCATTAAAGGTAAAAAGTTTTTTTCCTTCTCCTGTAAAGTTACATTTTTGGAGATACAAGGTTTTGTTCCAACAGCAACGATGTTCTCATTAAGATTAAATGTTATTTGGTGTCTTTTGAGAAGTGCTTCCATTTGTATATGAATTTCAGTCAGTGAGTGTGAATATTTACACCCTTAAAAATAAATATACACTAGTATTCAAATGTTTGGGATCACCTGGCAGATTAACGTTTTTTATTGTCTATGCAATTATAAATTATACAGTGTGGATATAAATATTACAAGCTATTTAAGAATATGTATTTTCAGGGATGCACAATGAAATCAGAATCATATCAGTATCTGTAGATCAATAAACCCTTTAGGACAGATGATTAGATCTGACCAATATTTCAAACTGATATTTGATGACAAATATCTGCATTTTAATAATTTTACTCCATTTGTAAGCCAACATAAATTAACGTTGTATTTCTCTGTAATGCTGATACGGGTGGATTTGGTTAATTTATACAGTTTAGAGATGTTTATGTATCAAAAGTAACACATCCAGTCAACTGATATGTTTTGTTGATTTGATAAAGTGTAAATAAGTGAACACATCCTGTACAGAGAACACACTTCTGCACATTTTAATGCACAATCAATGAGTGCGTTTACATGCACTCAATAATCTGATAACTGCAGAAATCTCAGTAATCTGATCAACACGTTTACATGCACTTGGGTAATCAGATAATGGGGAAACTCCAGGTCTACAAGAGTCAGACAGCAATCAGATTTCTGCTTTGCAACCAGCCAATAAACTCACAGAAGACGACGCGACGTAAACGTAATGTAAAACTCAAACATCATATTGTGGCTTTTTTTTTTAAACATTGCGCCACTTTATCTGAAAATATGAACAAACATCGTCCAGAAGATGAAGAATATTTAAATCCTTTATTTCGTGTTTGGTTTCAGCGCCACTCCAACAGTGTTTTGCTGCATCTTGCGACATCCACCGTCTGATCTCACCATGCAGAGACTGAGAAATCCGATAGAAATCAGAGTAAGAGTTTACATGCACTGAGAAATCTGATTACTGAGCTAAAACCCAGCTCTCTTTATCGGATTTCTAGATCGGAATGTGGTGTTTACAGCACCATTTGAATAATCAGATAACTGCAGAAATCCGATTATGATCGGATTACTGAGTGCATAACAGAGTTTAACATATTGGAAAAAACATAAAATGTGGCCTGTGCACAGAATTTATGTTTTATTCTTTTCCGAAATGTTAAAGTCAGTGTAAACGAGCAGAACAATGCCATTTTTAAGTGTGTTCTCTGTAGAGGATGTGCTCATTTTTTTTTTTACACTTAGAAAATTATCAAAACGTCACATGACGGGAGGTTTTAAACATTTGCATCGGCCCACAATTTCCATAACAGTGCACTCTTCTGTATTTTTAAATGTTTTAGTTAATATATACTTCAAAAACAAGAAGTTAAGAAGTTATAAAATGATAAATAGATAAATAACACACTGTAAATACCTATTTATGTTGTTTTTTGTCCAGTTTTCTGCCTGGAGATTTGATATCTACTTTTGAGTCATTCTATTAAAACTGCATTCTGAATGTTAATTTAATCAGAACTTCATTCTTGAGGTTCTACATTGTTCTCAGTTATCTTAGAACAATCTACAGCTCTGATCATCATACTGGACCCATCTAGCATTTACTCACAGCTCACTCGTGTCCTGCTAATGATGTGAAAGCTGTGTATTTGTTCATGACGAGCAGATTAGGATCATTTTATACATTTATCAGCCACCAAATATTTTTTAAATGCTTTAAAACAGTCATTCCAAACTTTTCAATGGTGGTGTATCTATTAAATATAACATCAGCTACTCATTCTCATCATAACGCAGAGTGCGATCCCTCTCCCACACAGCGGAGGATTACAGTTGAGAGAGCAAAGATGGGCTTAAGGTATGAAAACGGGCCTGGCTCAATGATGGAGGTAAATTTTAAATTCAAACACAAGCCATTGCCTGGATTCTCTCCGTGTGCCTGCGAATTCATTAGCAGCATAAATCTGAAGATGTGACAAAAATGCTTGCAGAGAGGAGGAAATTAAATTATGAGGAGAGAAAAAAAATATTAACACACAACACAGCTTTACACATTTGTGGGGAAACAGCTCCACCCAGAGGCCAGCAGGTGTATGACAAGAGTCTGAACTTTAAGCACACTGAGCAGTTTTTCATCACAAAAAGACTCTTATCTTCTAAAAGGCAACTTTATAAAGAAAAAAATCTCAGAATTTATTTGTATAACATTTTCTGACAGTTTATGCAGCAAAAAAAACAGTCATAACTAATTTTTTATCCCTTAGATTTAAACAGGCTGTTTTTGCTACTGTGTCTTTAAGATTGATATGTAAACGAGCTCTGTTCGGATTGGCTGCCCTGTATTGTGTCTCATTCAGAAAGCAGTTCGGGCATAAACACTCCTTATAACTACAGCATGAACAGGGAGTCTAAACTGCTGCAGGCTGAGCAGATGAACGTATGTAAACGTGCTGTTTTTGTGACATCACATTACACATATTTACATTTATAGATTTATACATCCACAAATATTGCATATTGCAGTGCCACTTGTTTATACACCCAGCCATACTGCACAACTATTATCATATGTTATCGTTTACAGTGTTTAGTCACTTTGTTTATCCACTGGGTGTGATATGCAGCACTGCATTGTCACCTGCATAATATTTATGTGATTTAACTTATTTATTTTTGTACTGCAGACTATATTTTATGGTTGTTGTAGTATATTATACATCTCTACTTCTATCTATGCATCTGTATAATAGCGTACGACAATACTTTTGCTCTTGTTTTGCTCTTTACTGTACTCTGGGACTAATAAAGTGATCTCTCTCTCTCTTATTAAAAAAAAAAAATGTTGGTTTGCCACTATACAGGCCCTTTAATGTTACTGTAGTTAAAGTTTAAAGTTACTGTAAGTTGATTGTAGTTTTGGACCATTTCTCTTGGCCCGTTCATCATGAAATGTTCACACAATTTAAAGAGCAACACTAGGGATGAACTGGTATGGAAATCTTGGGCAGATACTGATATCCGATATTTTTTATATGCATATCTGCCGATCCTGATGCATAAAGACCTATAAAATGTATGAAAATGTAAAGAAATTGGGAATAAATCTACCTGGACTAGCATGACACCTATTTCAGTTTGGTTTCAAATGCAGTTTAACCTCTTACTCTCCAGGGTATATTTTGGTTTGTCCATCTGAATTTACATGACCAAATCATAAGGCAAATTATTCAGCAACTGCATGAAATAAATGTACATTTTTATTTTATTTATTTTTTGTAAAAGCTCCCCTCAAATTAACAGTTTTATGTTAAGTTTTATGATCATACACATATTGCTATATGCTTACAATTCACTGCTGAAAGCCAAAAATCTTAGACGCTCTTTGTATTATTTTATAAAATAATGTTTACAGAGCAGATCACTGAAGAGACGCCATCTGTTTATAGTTTACAGCCCAGATCTGTGGAAAAATGGGTCGACTTTCAGTAGAAAAAAAACTGAGTTCAGCTTCTTTTATTATAAGGGTTTAAAATTACATCACCCATCTATTTGACTGGAGAGAAGACAGTTACAGCTCTCATACGACCCCCACCTTTAGAATGTAGCTTATGAAATATGAAAGTTATGAAGAATATGACGAAGTGCGTTTTGGAACCACCGGTGGTCTCAAGGAGTTGCAGAGGTTAAAATGATTTAAATTTGGTTTAAAATGAAAAAAATGCAGATATTTTAGAGCAGTAACCCAGTATCACCTATTTAATTAATTAATAAATACATCACACATCAGTTTGAAATATCAGTTATCTGCCGATACTGATATGATTCTGTATCATCGTGCATCCCTAATAAAAACAACATAAATAGAGATAAAAGGGTTTCTTATGACACTGACGATATGCATTACACATCACTCTTAAAGATGGTTCTTCAAGGGTTCTTTAGTAAAGATAATGGTTCTATATGGAACCATGGACACTCAAAGAACCATCTGCATGATTAAAGGGTTCATTGCATCATAAAATGGTTCTTCAGACTGATGGAAAATTTGCAGGAATGTGCTGTAGATGATTCTACATAGAAACTTTTCAAAAAGGGTTCTATATAGCACCCAAAAGGGTTCTTCTATTGTTATGATGTCAAGCTTGTATACACACTTAAAAATGAAAAGTTCTTCAAGGGCTCTTTAGTAAAGAAAATGGTTCTATATAGAACAATGAACACTCAAAGAACAATAGAAGAACATATAGGGTGCTATATCTTCTAGTATCTAGTAATTCTTTACTAAAGAACCATCATTTTTAAGTGTGTACAGTAGAAGAACCATTTTTGGTGCCATAAAGAACCCTTTTCCAAAACACTGATGTTATTATATAGAACTGTTTTCAAAAAGGTTCTATATTAGAACCATATACAACACATTCTCCAACAATTTGAAGAACCCCTTTGCGATGCAATGAACACTTTTGGGGTGCTATGTAGAACGATTTTCAAAGAGGTTCTACATAGAACCATCTACAGCAACCCTTTCATGATGCAATGAACTCTTTAATCATGCAAAGGGTTCTTTGAGTGTTCATGGTTCTATATAGAGAACCGTCTTTAAGTGTATACACCCATACCGACCTTCTACGTCGTCTGCAGCCATGCGTAATAAAGACTCAGTGAAGTTGATCTCCACGCTCTTCTTCTCTAAGATCTTCATGATGATTTCCTGCGTCAGACCAGGGTTCTCCTTCTCCGCCTGCGCAGACAGACAAATATCTGATTACTGCAGACATGAGCAGCGGAAAAACACATCGATTCATCGGTCTGAAAGTGGCAATTCAACAGCATTGATCTCTGAACGTTAGAACCCATTTTCAGACAAATCTGTTCTCAGCATCAAATAATAAATGCGATAATTTGTGGTTAAAGAAAACACTCGGGGCGGTTTCTCAGACAAGGACTGTAGAACCCAGTAATGTATTAACTGCCCTATAATGTGATAAAAAGCAGAACTGTACTAAGATTTTTCACTTAACTTAGTCAAAAATGTAATAAAACCCAGTAATGCAGGGGTTCTTAACCTAGGGGTCCCAACGTGGTTCTGGGGGGTCGCAAGAGTGGTGCTATAAAGATAAAGATATCGCTGCTGTCCCAAACTTTCCGATAGGGAACGTAATCAGATACAGGCGTTTACACGGATATTATTCTTCTATTTAACGATTATTTACAGGATTACCCACCTCGATCAATTGGATAGAAACTGTTCTGAATAGCCTCAATTGGACTAGTATAATCCGAATGAGGCGTCTACATGGACGTATTCTATTCCCATTGAGCTATTAGTCGGATTATTAACGGATTATCAGGCTGCATGTAAATGTGGCTACTGTGTCTTCACTGGCTGCATGCAAAGACTTTTGCCAATCCGATTGAATACATCCTGATTACAGATTAATACTGAGGTGTTTATTCTCACTCTACTCAACAATCTGATGAAAACCTCCGTTTACATGCTCACTACAAGCAATCCGATCCAAAATTACGCTCATGCATATAGAACCACTCAGTGTAGACGTTACCATGACAACCAGCATCACGTGAGTCCAGTCAGAGTGAGATGAGCAGCAGTGAGCAGTGCTTGTGTTTTTAATTGCTTTAAAATGATGTCAGACTCAGGAAAACGTCCTACACATGTCCTTATTAAAGAAGGCCGAGAGGAAGACGTCGTGTTCTCAGACACATAAGCTGGACGTCCGTCCCACCGCCGTCTTTTAAAGATCAGAGCATAAACTTCGTCTCCTCTGCAGACCAGTTTCTGCTCCGCCATGTTGAACGGTATAAACTTTCACTATGACGTGACGAACATGATCAGAACGGACTTAAACTTTCCGATAGGGAATGTAATCAGATACAGGCGTTTACACGGATATTATTCCTCTATTTAACGGATTATTTACAGGATTACCCACCTCGATCAGTCGGATAGAGATTGTATTCCGAATGGCCTCAATCAGACTAGACTATTCCGACTGAGGTGTTTACATATTATTATTAGGCTGCATGTAAAAGTGGCTACTGCTAAGTGATGTACTGATGACGTTAAACCTCATTACGTCATTGAGAAGAACAGAAGGTACCACTGTGAGCTCTCTGGCTGTGCTCGGGTCAAATCTGACCGATTTGCTGTTTTCCCTCAAACATTAATATTATTTATTTTATCTGATACTCATAAGACTTTATGACTTTGTTCAGACCAGGAAAGTTACAGAGCAGAAGTCTTAAAACTGGAGGCTCTTTCTGAAAGAAGAATAAAAACTTCTAAATGTCATAAATTGCCAATGTTGTAATAAGGTATTACATTATCAATAAAAGGATGATTCCATTATCAGTGAAGACACTGTACTACATTCTTGGGTTTTATTGTGGTTTCTGGCCAACTTAAGTGCAATTTTTATTACATTTTATTACATTTTTGAAGTTACATTACTGGGAAGTTATTAAACTACTGGATTCTACATGGATCAAGGCTAGTCTCTGAATTGCAGTGCCAATGGAGAAACACCGTTGGAAAATAATTTTTAATCTAGGGTTAGGCTTAAACTTGGTCCAGAAAGCAGGGGCAGTCTTGTTGAACCATCCCTTCAAAAGGACAGTATCACCAAATATTCAATTTCAAACTATGTCTGTCTCACTCTGCACAGTTGTATAGTTTTTCAGGCGCTTATTTTTAGTTAATTACTATCCTCTTACTCTATCCACTTACTGCAGTGAGACCAAAGCGGTAAACAGCGTTTTAAGTTGATTTTATTCCAAGCCGTGAAAGAAATCCCTGGATGGAATAAAACGTTAAATATTAACACCAGCACAAATGTCGGGTAATTATGCTCTAATCGTTTCCTTTCCGATCTAATCTATCCCTTGTCGTTCGTTATAAAAATAAATAATGTGCAGATGTCGTAAATACGTGCAGGTCCTTCTGTCCTCTATTTTAATGGGTCATGAGATTAGTCAGTTATTGGGCCTGCTATTGGAGTGCATGACCACTGTAATACACTACGTTCAGTCAGTTATTCATTCATTCACTCTTTCTTTACTGCCTCATAAGGAAGAGGCTGGCTTACAGCCATGCTACATACATGAAACCAATAAAAATACTAAGGGAAAGTTCACAGTTCATAAAAAGGAACAGGAACACATTCCTGTATTCATATTCACATGTACAAAAAGACTAGAGCTTTAACAATACATATATTTTCAGACTGAGTACAATTTTCTGATTCTGAGGTCAAGATTTTATTAGATTTTTCAATATTTTATGTGTTAAAAGTATCTTGATTCCCCAGTACTGTAATTATGTCAAATTTTATTTCAAAACAAACCCTTTTTATGTTTTACAGCCAGGGGATTTTATTTTGGTCAAAGCATAATGTTAATTAAATGTTAATTTGCAACATTTCATTGAAACAGTTCAATTATATGCAGGGATGCACCAGTTATGAATTTTAATGTCCAAATTTAATGTCTGATTTCGTTACAGACAAATTTACAGATTTTTATCAGCATTTATTTATTTATTTATTTATGGCTGAATGAACACAGGAACCACATGAGCACGTTTCCAGCACTTTCTATCAGCCAAAGTCACAATATAAATGTCTAAAAAATATAAATGATTTTAATTGTGTAATAATGATAAAAAAATTCCTTCTTTCTAGAAATAAAAGAGTTTAAAGTCTTATGTAAACTCAAATAATGTTTCAGAAAGTATCATTTAATCCACAGTATATACATATAAACTAAGGAGCAAAACCAGCCCATTTTTAATTCACTGTTTTTGTGATGTCAGAAATTTGACTGAGACCGCACACAACTGTATATCCACCTATTCAGCCTACAGCTGTTCAGTTCCGCCCAGTTACACCGAAGTTATGAGTAGTTTTTCAGCCCGGACTGCTTCTTGAGTGACACAGTGTACAGCGCAGCCAATCACAACAGAGCTCATTTACATATGCGAGTCTTAAAGGCACAGTAACATAATAAGCCTGTTTAATTCTAAGGGACAAAGAGACTTTAAAAAACGGTCATGTAACAATGAGATATGGCAGATTTACAGTACATAAACTCAGAGGAATCAGAGGAAAAACGGTATGAGGCATAATGGTGGATATCACTGGAGTACTCTGCCTCGTCTAGGCTGCCTCAACTGGAGAAAGCTGTTCAGTATCTCTACTAGACTTGATACTGTGGTCTCTGACACTGCATGACACACTGTTATCTATAAACATAGACTAAAGCACAGACACAGAGCTAAAACACTGACAAAGGCCCGGTCCCATGCTCCATTTAAGGTGGAACGGGAAAATTCATACAAGAAGCTGACAAATATCTGACTTCAGCTTCATATCACTGAAGAATTAGAGGTGGGTGATAATAAATAATTGCCCCCCCCTTTGAAGGCATACGATGCCCTAAATGTAACTAAAGCCCAGCAGTGAGGAGCTGAACTTTACCCTCCTCTGCTGTCACTGCAGACTGGCAGGGTCGCCTACAGAGCAGCGCTAGTAGCTGTTAATGAAGCAAGTTTTATTTGAGGGTCCCATTTCTTAGGGCAAGATTTCAACCACTACCCTGTAACTCAGTTCCAAGAGGTTAGGGTGACACTCAAAAACAAGGGGTAGGGGTAAAAAGAAGAAATGGGATTGGGCCAAAGCCTGAATCTGTTCTCTAGTCTATTATTATACAGGTTCAGGCTCTGGCCAGGTGTGTCTCTTACCTTTATGAAAGCAGCCCGCAGGGTCTGTGCTGCAGACAGGTTCACTCTCTCCAGCTGCAAACACAAACAGAAGCACTGTTAGACTCCTCGCTGCACACATTACACACAGAAACCTATTACAGCAGAGAGACAAACACCAGGCTGTACTGGAAACAGCTACTACATACTGCTCACCTACTGATTCTGCCCAAACACAGAAGGTAATATGCAGGATGTGACATACATAAATATCTATTTCAAATAAGAGTAAAAAATAAAGAGTTAAAAGTGCTACAGAGCTCTGATTGGTTAGCATTACTGCTACTGAGCGCTGACTGGTTAGTATTACTCCTACTGAGTGCTGATTAGTTAGCATTATTGCTACAGAGGCCAGATTGGTTAGCATTACCGCTACTGAGCTCTGATTGGTTAACATTACTGCTACTGAGTGCTGATTAGTTAGCATTACTGCTACTGAGTGCTGATTGGTTAACATTACTGCTACTGAGTGCTGATTAGTTAGCATTGCTGCTATTGAGCGCTGATTGGATGGCATTACTGCTACTGTGTGCTGATTGGTTAACATTACCGCTACTGAGCGCTGATTGGTTAGCATTACTGCTACTGAGCGCTGATTGGTTAGCATTATTGCTACTGAGTGCTGATTGGTTAGCATTTAATGTTACTGAGTGCTGATTGGTTAGCATTACCGCTACTGAGCGCTAATTGGTTAGCATTACTGCTACTGAGTGCTGATAAGTTAGCATTAATGCTACCGAGTGCTGATTGGTTAGCATTACCGCTACTGAGTGCTGACTGGTTAGCATTACTGCTACTGAGCGCTGATTGGTTAGCATTATTGCTACTGCGTGGTGACTGGTTAGCATTTAATGCTACTGAGTGCTGATTGGTTAGCATTACTGCTACTGAGTGCTGACTTGTGAGTAAATGAGTACATTTTTCTGTATTAAAATGATTCATCATCTACAAATAGCAGTTTTCAACAAAAGCTTCACAGAAACCCATTAATGCTGGACTGTCTGAAGGCTTTACTGAGTGGAAATTCTCCTCACTACACATTCCTTTACCATTACGTTAACATTAGCTAACAGTTTGGGTCCACACTGTGGTTTGGAGGATATCCTTACGCAACACTGTGCAAGTTTAACCAAATGTAACATCAGTGACAGCCAGTTAAGCAGACGGGGATTTTGTGAAAAGTTCTGCAGCTGAGTTTCAGACATTTTTAGGATTAATTCAACACCAAACGTGTCTCGGCTGACGGGTTAAATGTGGGCGGAGTGAGGAACGATGTGTGAACTGCATGTGTTAGACCTTATCTCTTTAGGACTCATGGTTATCAGTCTGTTCACCTCATTGAAAACAGGGTACATCACAGCATAGAGCGTCATGGAAACCATCGAGGCCGTCTCCGCTTCATTCTTAATCTCTTCCATTGTCATCGTCGTCGTGGTGATGAGAGGATGGGCGGAGCGTCATTCACTCCCGAAGACGCGCGGTTGGAGCCCAGGTGAGTTCTGCAAGCAGGAAGAACAGATCAGACAGATTAGTCCAGCTAGACGAGCGACATTTTCAAGCGAGCTAGATAATCACGAGAGATACACGGCCTGGACACAACCTGCTTTCTACAGCTCTGACCTTATTAAAGGGCCGGTATCATGGAAAACAGAATCCTTCTTTAAATAAGAGAGTTTGATGTAATATGTGAACACTGTTAAAATTTTCAAAATGTGCTGCTCATTCAGGCTATTTTGAATTCAGTTTTTGTGATGTAACAACACTCAATACATTTACACATAGCCACCTATTTCAGACTACAGTACTTCAGCCCCGCCCTTTCACACTGAAAAGACTGCTTTCTGAATGAGGTACAATCCTTGATGGCCAATAAGAACAGAGCTTATTTACATAAAACTGCCTTACCTCTTATGCCTTGTGGTATATTTTGGTTTGTCCATCTGAATTTACATGCCCAAACTGTAAGGCAAATTATCCAGTAACTGCATTAAATAAATGTGAATTTTTATTTTATTTTTTATTTTTTGTAAAAGCTCCCCTCAAATTAACAGAACGTGTGTTTTATGATCATAAACATATTGCTATATGCTGATTAGTTAGCATTACTGCTACAGAGGTCTGATTGGTTAGCATTACCGCTACTGAGCGCTGATTGGTTAGCATTACTGCTACTGAGTGCTGATTGGTTAGCATTACTGCTACTGAGCGCTGATTGGTTAGCATTACCGCTACCGAGCGCTGATTGGTTAGCATTATTGCTACTGCGTGGTGATTGGTTAGCATTTAATGCTACCGAGCGCTGATTGGTTGGTATTAACGCTACCGAGCGCTGACTGGTTAGCATTACTGCTACAGAGGTCTGATTGGTTAGCATTACTGCTACCGAGCGCTGATTAGTTAGCATTACTGCTACTGAGCGCTGATTGGTTAGCATTACTGCTACTGAGGTCTGATTGGTTAGCATTACCGCTACTGAGTGCTGATTGGTTAGCATTACCGCTACTGAGTGCTGATTGGTTAGCATTACTGCTACCGAGCGCTGATTGGTTAGCATTACCACTACCGAGCGCTGATTGGTTAGCATTACCGCTACTGAGCGCTGATTCGTTAGCATTACTGCTACTGAGGTCTGATTGGTTAGCATGACCGGTACTGAGCGCTGATTGGTTAGCATTACTGCTACTGAGTGCTGATTAGTTAGCATTACTGCTACAGAGGTCTGATACTGCTGAAAGCCAAAAATCTTAGACGCTCTTTGTATTATTTTATAAAAATCATTTTTACAGAGCAGATCACTGAAGAGACGCCGTCTGTTTACAGTTTACAGCCCAGATTTGTGGAAAAATGGGTCGACTTTCAGTAGAAAAAAAATATCGAGTTCAGCTTCTTTTATTATAAGGGTTTAAAATGACATCACCCATCTATTTGACTGGAGAGAAGACAGTTACAGCTCTCATACGACCCCCACCTTTAGAATGTAGCTTATGAAATATGAAAGTTATGGAGTAAAAGATATGAAGTGTGTTTTGGAACCACCGGTGGTTCCAAGGAGTTAAAAAGGTTAAAGGTACAGTAATAGAAACATTCTATGTAATTCTAAGGGAATAAACACACTTAAGGTTGGAAAATGGTCACGTTAAAATGTTTCACAACCGGTTTGAATACAGAAACCCTCACAAACATTATAAGAGGAACTCTAGGAAAAATAAAATACAAGAAAAATGTAGGATACGGGCCCTTTAAATAAATCTGATTAGGCTTCAGAGGAAAACAATAATCACATGAGTAAATATTTGTGTCAGTATTAGTGACAGTGCCACTTTGGGAATAAAACCAAAGTAGAACCTGAGATATTTGTCCAAACTCGAAGGGAACCGACTGCAAATGTGGGCTTTCATTGGAATTTCTCCAATGCGTCCCGGCTGGAGTTCACACTGGGGTTCTGACAGGCCCCTTCCACTTTTAACAGACTTTAACCTGCATTTCCTCCTATTTTCACTCCTTACTTTATTCTTCACTACTTTCAGCACCGTAAATGTTCTGAACCCACTCAGCACCACGAGGCCCACACTCGAGAGAAAACAAGACACAAACTCAATCCTGTAAATCCATACAGGAAAGTGGAGTTTAGTGCAGCCAAAAGAACTTTTAGTAAAAGTGTTTTAACGTTTCATGTTTAGTAAGTGAAACATCTCACTGCAACAGCACCGACGAGAACAGCTGGAAAGTCTATCCAGACTGAAAAATGTCTCACATACTGTTCAACGGCTTTATTTGACAAATAAATTAAAGCAGAATTTATAATTAATTTTGGACAGCTGGTAATTTAATTAAAGCATTATATTTAATGTTGTTTATATTTTATTTATCTGTGCTCTAATAACGCTATTTTTGTCACTACATGGCATCCAGCACCATCCTGCCAGGATTTAGTTTATTAATAATAATAATAATACATTTTTATTTATAGAACACTTACACAAAGCAGCTCAAAGTGCTTTACACTTAAACAATAAAATTAATACATGAGTAAAATTAAGTAAGCCAAAAGATGAATAAAACTAAAATGATAAAAAAATAAAATAAGGTAAATTGACAAGCAAATAAAATAAATGACAACAGTATTTTAAGTAAAAAGTGATTAAAGAAAGATTTTCAAATGATTACTGGAAGTAAGAACTCAGAAAAACAAGAAAAGCAGCAAAACAAAAGGAAGAAAACTAAAACTATTGAAAACTAAAGTAAAATAAAATAACGAGCAGATAAAATAAATAACAGTATTTTAAGTAAAAACTTGGTTAAAAAGATACTTTTTCAAATGTTTCTTAAAAAATGTGGACTGAACTCGACTGCCTGGTTTTAAGAGGTGATCAGTTCCACATTTGTGGCAGCATAAAAACAGAAGGAAGCCTCTCCACCGTGTCTATAGTTTACACAGTGTATCTGCCAAATTTAGATCATTTGGGTCAGTTGGGGTCAGTTTCAGACTGAACTTTGTTATACTCAGGTCAGCTTTGGACTTTGGACTCGAGATCGGACGGGAAATCCTTGGGTCATATTTGGGTTCGGACCAAAATGTCAGGTCCAATTAAAGCCGTTTACGCCCTTCGTAGTGATGTCAGTGTTCGTCAGCACTCAGACCTTTCAGGAGTTTAAAGCACCTTTGGACCAAAACAACAGACTGGAAAAGAAAACTGTCAAAGCTGCTCTTCATACCCAGGAAGATCCTTTGCTGAACATGAAGCTGAGTGCTGAAGATAAATATACCCAAAAACATTACTTCAGAGCTGCTTTATGATCAAAATAACTTTCGCTGGCAACCAAGTGTCAACAGAAGCAGCACAAACACAGCAGGATTAGTCTAAACTAAGTCCACCTTATCAGCCACTTCCCTTCCTGCGCTAAGATGACTTTTCTCTTGCTGGTGTGGTCAGAGCCAAAGACGTCAACACGGTTACTTATCTTGATGACCGACAGTATCTTGCTTTTAACTCCCAGTTTACCGAGCTGGTCTAACGGCCTTCAGGGTATCTGAACCACATACAGCACACGACAGTCCAGGTGTTGCATGATGTATCGAAATTTCAGTGATTTTTAAAAACGTGCAGCACGGTAAACAACTCAATGACTTTTCACAGTTTCCGTTCTCTAATTTAAAGGGGAATTCCACTGATTTTTCAAAATTTCTGCATAATTTAAGGGTTAAGACGTAAACGGGCAAATAAAATCACAAATCAGCGATTAATCGCAGTATCAGCACAGAGCAGGGGCTTTTAACCTTTTTCTGGTTAAAAATATTAGATCCTATTCGGCACGCGGAATTTTAATTTTCCATTCTTTTCTGCCCGTTTCAGTCTGAGATGCACTACAGTCCCCAGCATGCACTGCAACATAGTGTGCATTCTGACCCCCAACAACAATCTATGGGGCAGCACTTACACAAAAAAAAGACCACCCGAAACAATTCATTTTTATTTAGAATTAGATTTGAATAAGTATTCAGTGCCTATTTTGCTGTATATATATATATATATATACACACACACACACACAGATCAGGCATAACATTATGACCACCTCCTTGTTTCTGCGCTCATTGTCCATTTTATCAGCTCCACTTACTATATAGGTGCACTTTGTAGTTCTACAGTTACAGACTGTAATGGACCCTCACAGAGCAGGTACTATTTGGGTGGTGGATCATTCTCAGCACTGCAGTAGCACTGATGTTGTGCTGGTACGAGTGGATCAGACACAGCAGTGCTGCTGGAGTTTTTAAACACTGTGTCCACTCACTGTCCACTCTATTAGACACCCCTACCTTGTCAGTCCACCTTGTAGATGTAAAGTCAGAGACGATAGCTCATCTGCTGCTGCACAGTTTGTGTTGGTCATCCTCTAGTCCTTCATCAGTGGCCTCAGGATGCTGCCCACAGGACGCTGTTGGCTGGATGTTTTTGGTTGGTGGACTATTCTCAGTCCAGCAGTGACACTGAGGTGTTTAAAAATTGATGACTGATCCACTCAGACCAGCGCAACACACACTAACACACCACCACCACATCAGTGTTACTGCAGTGCTGAGAATGATCCACCACCCAAATAGTACCTGCTCTGTGAGGGTCCATGGGGGTCCTGACCACTGAAGAACAGGGTAAAAGGGGGCTAACAAAGTATCAGAGAAACAGATGGACTACAGTCTGTAACTGTAGAACTACAAAGTGCACCTATATAGTAAGTGGAGCTGATAAAATGGACAATGAGTGTAGAAACAAGGAGATGGTCAGAATGTTATGCCTGATCAGTGTAGCTGACAGTGTCAGTGTACATAACAGATGGACCTTGTAGTCCACAACATTGGAGTGAGCTACATTCTCCACCTACAAGAAGCTCAGCACCTATTAAAACTATGTCTTAGTCATGCCGTTTCTACACAACGATTGAGGGGAAATGAGTCATGATCTCAGATCCACAGGCATAATCTAACAGTTCCAGGTAG